TATTTTGCGGAGGTTTGACAATAAAAGATTCAATGTATGATTTAATCACTCCTCTGTGATTGATATACACATACACTTGCATATATACAGTCATACATTCACTGATTACTTTGCTTCTTAATATATGCAAGGGTCAACTCAAAAGCAAAGTTTGCAATACTCTTTGATAACCCTAAAGAAGTATTAGGAACTTCCTTGTCAATAAAACATATTTCCTCTTGCAAATGAAAAATGAACCTACTATCAAATGTCAATATCTGTGTATTGTATTACACAAAAATTTTTGATAACTTCAAAAAATTATTATAATTAAGGAACTTCCGTGTTAATAAAGAAACTTCCTCATGTAAATAAATGGATACTCGTAATTTTGTTTAAATGTTCACGATAACATAAAATAGTTATTTTAAATGGAGTAAAATTTATCCCTGCACCATAGACAAATCAACAACTGTACTCTTGGAGTACATTCATTCATTTCTCCATCTATTGTCTAAAAATAAACAAACCTAATTAAAAATAGGATAAAAATACATGAGCGATTGTGAATGAATATTTCAGTGAGTTTCGCCTTTATTGTTTATGTAAACTTAGATTGAGTAATTTCGTAGATTAAGTATTTAGGTATATTTTACATGGCTATTCACACAAACAGTGTTTATGTAAAATTTCTGAATGATTCTGATCAACTTATCAAATAACTGGTAATAGGTATATGCAAAATCTAAGTACGTTGCGATAAGTATTGATGCCACTTCTTTTGACTCCATATTCCTGCAGATCTATATTAAGAAAATGGCGTCTTTAAAATTATATAATTACAGTAAATAGTATTATGTATGATAGTTAATATATTCAAAAGACATTTCCACTAATTTTGAAATTTAGATCAGGTAATATGCGCATTAGGAACTGTGCTTCCAACAAGAAAATTATCATTTAAATATTTTAATGAAAATAAATATCATTCAGAAGGATGCTTAGAAGATTCACAATAAATTAAACTCATATGCTAGGAAAATAATATATTCAGCTGATTGATGATACACTGTATTTTACAATTTTTGACAATGACGTGAGATTATTTTTCTTAAGTGCTGTTATTTTTCCATTGAATAAAAGTGATATTCTCAATTATCAAAAATAAAATTATCAGAAGTGATATTTTCACATCTGAAAATGTAAAACTCGGGGCAAAACTTTCAGTTTTCCTTCTTCTCATGACGAGTGTTATGAGGAAAATACTTCTGTTTATAGGGAGCTGAGTAAATAAACCAATGAACATATGATGATACATATTAAATCTGCCAAAGTTTCTGTAAAGTACTGTTAAATCCATGTTTTCAATTTTCAATTTCACAAACGTTCAACTATAAAATCAGTCTACTACACCGTTTTACAAAAGGACAGGGCAATAGGAAAACCAAAGAAGATGAAATAATCAGGAAATTAAAAAAAAAAATTATGGAATTTATTTCACTCAAGAAACAGAGTGTTTTGATATTTTCACTACTGCTTTGTACTAGTGAAAATATTGCAGAAATCCTGCCACATTCTTGAAATGAATTCAATCTGTTGGAATTCCCATGGGTATCAATTGCGCCCCTTTGTTAGCAGACCTATTTTTGTATTCATATGAAGCAGAATTGATTCAAAATCTTCAACATGAAAAGAAAAAAAAAAACTTGCTGTGGCCTTCAACTAGACATTTAGATAAATCGACGACGTATCAATTACCAATAGTTACTTCCATTCATATGTTGACTCGATATATCCCAATAAGTTTGAAATTTAAGAGTCAGACACATCTGCTTCATATTTGGATATTCTACTACTACTCAGCTTTCCTTACGTATGTAGCAATAGTGTTTTTGTCTCCCAGTTGTTTCGATACGCAAGAGCATGCTCTACATATGAACAATTTCTAAAACAAGGCAACCTATTGTCAAAGAATTTGATGAAAAAAGGATATCAACAGTCTCGTTTGAAGTCATTATTTCGCAAGTTTTATGGTAAATATAATGACCTTGTAAGCAAATACAACCTATCATTAAGTCAAATGCTGACTGACGTTTTTCATACTAATTGTTAGGCCATTATTTACACACTGAATTGTCGACGGATTTTTTTCGTTTTCCCGATCATGATAAGGAGCACACGGCTGGTGTGACCGGTCGGCAGGGGATGCCCACTCCTCCATGGCACCTGATCCCACCTCTGATGATTCTGGAGGCTCTGCACCCGATTTGTATTGCCTAATTGGACTTTGAGCTTGAATACTGTTCGTTATCTCCATATTTGATTCCGTATCCAACAACAGAAAACTGATATATATTTTATGGATATATTTCACTTTTTGAGAAATATGATATATTTTCCAAGCAGTCAAACAGTCCCTAACAAAAAGTATAGCAAACTCTAGTTTCCTTAATTTACAAAAGTTAACTTTAGTATAATTGTACCAGATATAGTAAAATAACTATGAAAAGTTTATCTATAGCATAGTACATCAAAGTTTTTAATACAATAATTTATAATATCTTTTTCAGCTCTTCAAAGTTTTTTTTATTTAAATATTTTGGATTTCCAACGTTTCGGCATGAGCTTAACTGTTGAGACATTATTTGTCGCAATGCTCATCTGGTGCATCAAAATTGGTACCATATATGATTTACATTATGCAAAATTTTGAACGCTATTATATGCACATTAATTAAACAGGAAACACTTAATTATTTGTGCAACATATTAGAAACAAATCATTTTATTCTAGACTATCTCCACAAAATAAAATCTATTATTGTTAGTTTTATTCCAGTCCACAAAATGCATTTTCATGTCCATGTGAGAGATGAAATCCATTGTATTTCTTGTGGTTCAGTCGTCACTGTCATATAAATTATTAGGCCATTATTTCCAAACTGAATTGTCTATGGGTTTTTTTTCTTTTACCCGATCATAACAAGGTGCACACCGGGTATGTGTGACCAATTGACAGGGAATGCTCACTCCTCCATGGCACCTAATCCAAGGTCCATTTTTGCTCTACCCACAATTTGTATTGTTTAGTTGGACTTTTGAGCCTGATTATACTGTTCGCCATTGCAAACCTGAATACTGTATGCAGGGTGATTTCCTCTCCTGGTTTAGTGTGCCCCCTCTCGACCTCATGTTGGGGGGGGGGGGATTTAAAAGGGAAGAATTCAAATCAGACTTATCTTTCCAACATAACTGTGTCTGGGCCAGGGATGGGGTCAATTACTTTAAAAAGTAATTAATTAAATTACAATTACTTTGACTTTTTCTTCAATTAAATTACAATTAAATTACAGGCTTTCTAAGACATGTAATTAATTAAATTACAATTACTTTGCAAAAGTAATTAATTAAATTACAAATTACATTTTTAATTTTTTTTGAAAATTTTTATAATCTTTGTCAATGAATATACAGAACATCATTTATTTGTATATAAGCTCAGCCCTGCACAAACAGTACAATTAAGAAATAATATGCTATAGGCATTGTGTATCATTCTGTTTTAATTTATAACATTTATTTACAAAACAATAAGGATATCTTAAAGAACTATCTGAGATCAGTTTGATGCAGTTTCCACCACACAAAACCTACATGTACACAAATCATGGCTTATGATATTTGATTGAAAGTGAGTATTTTAATAGAGTGAAATGAGTCGCAACTGTAACCTCTCAAATTAAATATTTTCTTTGAAGGTAACCTGAACTTCCTAAATTGCTATTTTTGTTGAACAATTTTACTTCATAAATCAGAATTGTACAGATAGAAAATTCATTCATAAAAATCTGTTTAAATATTAAAATAATTATCAAATTGAAAGTTTTTTTTTTCTAAAGCTAGCGGAGCATTTTAAATTGAAATAATTATCTCCATTGGCTTGGTCTTCTAAATCATGGAATGAATATCTCTTTAGAGGAGTTGATTTGTTTTGATTGCAATTTAAAGCTGTGATCTGGAGGGCAATTATCTCTTTCCAACAAGAGAGAACTTAATTAATGACACACACCTTCTTTTTCTTTATTATTGATCAAACAACAAAGATTGAAATATAATAAATGTGTGTTTCATAGCTGAATAGACCTAAGAAGGGTGGTTCAAAATTCATATTTATAAACATAGATAAAAAAATTCAAAATTTACATAATGATTAGAAAGAAACTAGTTTATTATTATCAAGCTAATCATTTAATTATTTTTTTGTAAGCATTAACCTAAGATTTTGTATAATTAGAGGATTGAGGATATGTTTATCAATAAAATAAAAACCAGTAAAATGGGGAGGTAGTGGTGATGATATATCATGAATATATCATGAATGTGTATTATATAAAGTAATTGAATGTAATTGAAAAAGTAATTGAAATTACATGGTATTTTTTCAGTGTAATTAATTAAATTACAATTACAAGTAATTGAAAAAATGTTCAATTACAAATTACTTCCAATTACTTCAAAAAATGTAATTAATTACAGTCAATTACAATTACTTTTTTCAATTACCCCATCCCTGGTCTGGGCGAATATTGAATGGTGCATATCGTCTGTAAATGCACAGATGCGAAAATAACTCTGTATACAATATCAAGCTTAATTGCATGAGTACTTGTTAAAGAATGTTTCCATTTGGAAAAGCTTCTTTATATGCCTGTTGGCGATTCTGGCGGAAATATTGTTGACTTCTTTGATTGATTTTGATGTTATAGTGTATACCTATGGTTGAAATACTACATTTTTCAAAATATTCCAGACAATTTTCATAACCACTGTTTCCATTAAAGATTCGTGTTATTAATTTATTAGTTCATCATCTCACACATATTCACAGATGAGAGGTATATGATGTTCAAGCCTCAATAAAGTAACAATATGACTTTCTATATAAATAACATTCAAATACATAGATATCGTTGATAACTTAACATTGATTATTTTTAACAGCATTCCAACTTATCAGGGCTTTGTTTGTACGTAGGGTGGCACGAGAATATCCGTGCTTTTACAGGACAGTACAACCACAACAGCATTGGTGGGGAAAATCGGGAGCGTACACTTTTCTCTCCATGCCATATATCCAGTAACGCGAACGCGTATCTTTCCAAGTAAAGTGGACCTCCGTGACAGGAACCGCAAGCAAACGTTGTCTCTGAAAATATTTCGTAGATATATTAATTTTGGTCAATGTTTTGAACTCACTCTAACAAATTTTGTCATTTTTCGCCTTATAAATATATCTGAGGATTTACAACATTGTTAATATTTTGTTGTATCTTGGTTACATTAAATAAAATAAATCTCCAAACACCTACATATTTCAACACACACCGACACCAACTGTTTTTCTTTTTGTTTTCCTTTCAAAGTATATTTTAATTAGTTATTATGACGTCATAACTGTTATATGTTCCATTATTTAAATATCATGAGTTTAATTCAACTAAAAATGCAGAATTGAGAAAGAATAAAGAGAAGCTAATGAAAACAGCATGTAAGGAACTGAACATTCTAAAAACTGCGTTCCCTATTTTCTTTTTCAAATTTTCCACCGATCTTGTACAAATGTGAATTAAAAGAATTGAGAAACTCTAATTGTGAATTATAACTTAGATGGAATATGTAGATAACGAACAGTTTTCAAGCTCAAAAGTCCATTCAAACAATCCAAATCAGGAGGAGAGCAATCACGGAGCTCTAAAACATCAGAGGTAGGGTCAGGTACCATGGAGGAGTGGGCATCCCCTGCCGACCGGTCACAACAGCCGTGTGCTCCTTGTCATGATCGTTAAGACGGAAAAATCCGTCGACAATTCAGTGTGTAAATAATGGCCTAACAATTAGCATGAGAAACGTCAGTCAGCATTTGACTTAATGATAGATTGTTCGCTGACATGGTCATTGTATCGACCATAGAACTTGCGAAATGATGACTTTAAACCAGACTGTTGATATTCTTGTTTCAACTTGTTTGTCAATAGCTTGCATCGTTTTAGAAATTGTTCGTACGTAGAGCATGCTCTAACTTATCGATAACTAATTCACAAAGGCTCTTGAAGGTTTAAATCTATATAGGAAAAATAATGTAGGCATATATTCATTATGTATCATGTATTTCTAAAACAGTTTTACTTTTTCTTTTAATATAATTGGTACTTATGTAAATAAGCATTGTATTTCTGTTCTTGTTTTGTCCGTGTTTTAATATGCATCATATTAATATGTACGTTATTTTTCAGTATAATTAATGGTTTTTACACCAATCAATAGACTACTACCTTGCATCATCAATTCTTAGGTTCATTTCTCCTTTTATTTCATCGTGAATTTCATTGTGATTAGTAAACCTACTTAATCTTCCTTAGAAAAGTTATATACGTATAAATTATATTTGTATCTTTGAATATTAAATACTTTCCTTACTTCCCAGAACCTTCAGCTTTCGATACCTTTACATATCAAAGATATGTAAAAAATCGAGATAAGTTAGTAATTTATTAATTATATCTATTATAATTACAGATAAGAATATGTTCTAAGTTCATCTATAAAGGATCGCGGATACACAAAAAGCGTTATGTGTTGTAATAGGAACTTTTGAACACATTTGGTAATAGATACAATTTTTAAAATATTGCTGATATATAAGCTCCATGTTTACCTAGGCCTCTTAATTTAATAGAACCCTCTATAATTTGTATAATATTAACTTGCGTGAAATGGTGACAGATATGAAAAGTTAAAAATTTTATTTATTTCTGTATTTGTAAATTAATTCTATAACTTACGCATGTCACTTTAAATAAAAAGATAGATTATTTTCTTGCTTATTGAAATATAAATAAAATGTTATGGATACCTGTCTAATTATTCTTTCATTGGGGAAAGCCCTTTTATGCTCGTTGACGATTCTGATTGAATTATTGTTAATCTCAGGTATCGGGTAAGACGTTAATGGAAAAACCTACAATTGATATTCAAATTTTAAAACCTCAAAGAATATATATATGCTGTCGAAAAATACGTTTGACTTGGATAAAAAGAAATCTGTCAGATATTTCTACGTAAAAAAACAAAACTTCTGTTTTTGGTTTTATTTTCCATAACCTGGTCTAAATCTTGCTCAAACACAACTTTGCCGGTTACTTCTTTCACCAAGTGATTTGGCATGTCAGATCGCTCGAAGACGTAATCACTCACGTGATTTGTGCTGCAAAATGTATCCAATATTTATTCATATATGTATATCTCGTAGGTTATCATCTTGTATAAAACATTTCTATGTAGCCTCCCAGATGTTAAAAGATGCTAAAAGACAATTTTTTGACTTATTTTTTGGGATTCTTGTTCTTAAATTGGTAAAATGGTTTTTGATTTTTCCATTGTTTTATTCAAAGAATCAACCCTACAAGTTCTTTTATATCTATATTTAATATATTATATTTTTTTATCTAAAAAGAAATTGGTCTTTGTCCTTTACTGATTATACCTGTTCTCAAGAAATAAAACCAATTTACCTGCCTTCATACTTCTGCCGTGAAATGTCTATTTTAGGTATACATAGTGGAATTTCCCAAAATTTAGCGTGCCATTATGTTAAAAATTAATGTTTAAACGTAAGTTTATTTTTAAATTTACAAAATAATGTTTTTCACAAATTAGACTTGTAATCACCAGAGTCAATTTACAATATTGTGATGCGTGTAGAACATTTGATTTATTCAAGCTAAAAAGAAAACAATGCTCGTGTATTTTCTCTCAACTTTGAATTTACAAATATATGAAAACATTTACTTTCCAGTCGACTGCTTGAAACTTGAAGATATGTTATATAGTTAGTTGTGAATATTTTTATCCCTATGGATGTCTCATGATTATTTCTTTTATATCCTTCAAACCCAAAATTTAACGTTGAAATGAAATGCTTGTCCTTATGAAGACTCATAAATATCTATATTTCTTGCACTGGTATATAAGTCAACCGTTTCAATTTGTGTTTCAATTAGTATGAATATACAAAATTTTATAACGCAATGTTCCTCATATTTAAAATGCATATGTTTGCACATGTGATGAACATTGTACTTATGCAGCTAGTAAAATGTATATACAAAACTTTTTATGTAAAGATTGATATGTATTTTTTTGTTACTGATTTTGATTTGAAATGACAAAAATAATACGTTCCTTAAATGTAAAGGTTTTCTTTAGCGAGTAAATATGCGATTTTGTGCTAATTCCTATATAAAAATATACATTTCGTGATATTATTACAAAATCTTACAACATTTCCACACTTACTCTGGCAAAGTTATTTTAGTTATCTATCTGAACATTAATGTTTTAATATATATTGCTGATTTCTGAGAAGAAAGGTCTGTGTAATTTATCCTTACAATTATTTTTTCTTATGGTAATAAACTCTGCTTTTGAGATTTTTTTGATACACTTACAATTTGACCGTAAGTTCTGTAAATGTCTTCATGTTTCCAGATCCCGCACACTTAGTACATGTTGCTTTGCCCTTACTGGAACATTTATCACATCTTAAATTAAAAAAAGGGAAAAAAACTGAATACATAAGAAAAAAGGGAAAAGACTGAAAGGACTCGAGACTTTTCTCATCTGAAGAACTCTTGCTAAATGTCATGCATGAGTTTGATCCATATCACATGCTAGTTTTTCGTACATCTGTACATCTCTCTCTCTCTCTCTCTCTCTCTCTCTCTCTCTCTCTCTCACATACAAGTAGTTTTCAAATGTTATGATTCTCGAAATTTTCAACCCTACTTCAAGATTCCACCCTGACACGAATGACAAGTGTTTCTTTCATTGCTTCCCAACAGTCTGTCGCATTCCCGATTATGTGACCATTTCCGGCAAGAGCAGTCCTTCGTACCAGATCCCCGACACTCCGAACACTGGATATAACCAAGTCCCATACAATCGTTACATGGCTATAGTAAAAGAAGGATCTTGTATTTTTCTTTTCAGAAATATTGCTTTAAAAAGAATCTATATCTAAAATGGTGTCATTGTCGTAATGTGGCCATATAAGCAATGGAAGCCTTTTTTCAAGCAAATAAGGTTTATCATTTTGTTTTCAAACAATTTATCAAAAGACAATACTATGTAATATTTCTGACTTATATTATCTCCATTTTTTTTTATTCTATAGGAACCCATGAAGTTTAAATTTCTTAGTTTCTTTGACGGACCAAAAAACTTACACGGACATATTCTGTATGCGGAATTTTAATTTTCTTTTCTTGATTATGGAATATTTTTTCTGCATTACAAAGCACATCCCAAGGTGAGGGCGAAGGGCCATTTTCGGGGCCATCAACTCGGCCTCCACGATGCGGCTCACGCTTACATTCTGTCTGCCGAGATTCAGTGAAAGTTTCTAAGGTGTACTGAAAAAAAGCTTATGTTCTTGAAAAGAATCTATTTAACAGCTATTATTCAAGCATCCCTTACACATACATTCAGAAAAGAAATTACATGTCCTTACATGATAAGCAGTTAAACCATTATGGCGGGTGATGGTCATTTCTTTTACTGCAATGGAATCATAACAACAGTTTTCAGCAGTATAATCGATCATAGCCTGCCTACAGGCCGCTTGATCAAGGTTATCAATGCTGAAAAAAGAGGGTATACTTAAAAATACGTAACAAATGCCTTGTTCACCAATATACACATTCAATTTTTTTTCAAGTATAATACAATGTAATAATATGTTTTGTAGGGATTCTGTTACATTTGCGTAGAATAATCTTAAATTAATATTGTAATGCTCACTCTTCGAACTTCATGGGGCTGGGATGTAAAGTTTGTGGCTGCTGAGGGGGTGGAAGAGGTGGAGGAGGTATTAAGGCCACTGAAATGTAAGTTAAATTGGTAACAGATATTTAAAAGTTGTGGAGCTTTCTGTCAGCTATTCTCCTTGAATTGTAAATATTTAGAAAAAAAATGAAATTGAAAGACTTACTTTTTTGCAACGAAGATTAAGCAGAGACTTCACAATGAAAACGATTCAAAGTATGCGTTATCCTTTCTGTGTTTTCGTTGCATATGTATTCACTGACTGCTACTTAAGAAATGTGAAGTTGCTGAAGACTCTAAAGAGGTACAAGGAACTTCCTTATTAGTAAAACAAAGTTCCTGATAGTTTGAGGATATTTAAAAATAGTGCTAATTAATTTTCATTGAACATCAAATTATTTTTTGAGATGTTTCATGAAATATTCAAGGAAGATATTTTCAGTCCTAACAGATGACACAACAATAATGTTTGAGGCTTTTTATTGATTTCAACTTATTTCGAAATTGAGTTGTTAACAACAGTGCCCTTAAGGACATAGGATACTAAAAATATTGTATAGGAATTTATAAAATAGTTTGTAAAAGCTCAATTAATGCTGAAACATATTTATCACGAATTTTTCTACCAAGCCGGCCTTATTTTTTTTTCATTTCCCCAATTTTACACTTTTATATCTACACTGAAATTTAATGCTTAGCATAAAAGAAATGGAAATCCCGAACATACATATATGTTTAGTCTAATTTTACCATGTTTACCATGTTACATTTGTCATACTTTAATGTTAAATAGTAAAATTTGATTGGTTTAAAAACATTTGTTAAAAAGCGTAAACCACGCCCTCCAGGTAACATTACATAGCAACGGTTGACAATGCATGACGACGGGTAACAGTATAAAAAATTGCTAACTGCGCACAATGTCTGCGTGTACTGTTCACTGTAGCTTTTTCTTTTATAAAATGCATTCTAAGTACATTCAGTATAACAAAAAACTGTTACACTTTTATTTAGGGTAACATGTGAAATTGTTATCTCTTGAAAACTTGGGTTTCGCCTAGGTCAGCAATGGCTTTCGCGGGATAACATATCACATGTTACCTTAAAAAATATGTAATAATTTTGTAGTAATCTGAATATAAAAGAATTAACCCCCCCCCCCAAAAAAAAAAACCAGGATGTTTTGATAAGTACCCCCACTTTAAATGGAGCCTGAATACCCTAAGACCTTAATGGTCAATCGTTCTATTTCTTTCTAACATTAGCAACATATTTTAATAAATTAAATGAAAATACATGAGGATTGCTGAATTGATATTTAGTCTCCATAGTTCTAAATTTAATAAAATTCAATGTACATGTATTATGGTATAATGACATTACTCTTAACACAAACGATGTTTAATAAACATCTCTGAATAATTCTTTATGCAAAAAAACAAAACAAAACAAAACAAACAAACAAAAACAAAACAAACAAAAAAAACAAACAAACAAAAAAAAACCAAACAAACAAACAAACAAAAAAATAAATAAATAAATAAATAAATAAATAAAATAAAATAAAAATAATATGAATGAAAACCTTTGTATATTATTATAGTTAGATAAAAAACAACAACAACAAATAATGATCGATTTGATCACTTTTGAAACAGATTCATTCAGAGTAAGGAGACGGTAACGTTAAAACAATAAATAGCAATGAGTGTATTCACTTAAAATCAGAAACCTGCACAAATAACTTAATTTATGAGCAATTCAGAATGCGTAATTCAGCAAATTTCGACCTTTTGACAAATCTGTCTTTGGTTCCAGCTTTACCTAGCCTTCTTAATGTACAAATGTTTTGCAATAACTATACACAATAGGATTCGAAACAATATCTAAAAACTTGATTCGTCCTCTCCCTCTTCCCTAATCGCTTAAACCATCTGTAGACTGTCTCTTTGGAAACTATTGATACTAACAATCACTCCAAACACAGCACTTCAATCTATGTAATTATGCACAATATGCGCAAGTACCTTCAATCCATGTCTATTGACAAATCCTCTTCAATTTAAATTTATATAGGCATCAGTACTAATGTTAAAGTTTGAAAGTTGTTAAATGGAGTCTGTTATAGATAAACATCAAAAAATACAATCGTCCATCTAGAAAACAATAGCTATTCTGAAAACCAAAATAAAAATTACCTTTATAAATCTATACATGTATCTAAATTTAGAAATAAATCATAGACTATATGGACTGATAGTTAAAATTATGATTACGCTCATCATCTTCTTCGGATACAAACAATTTAAAAGACAAGAATAAAAATAGAAATTCTTGGAGATGTTTTATTTCAAATAAGAGAAAACCACATATATGTTCAAAGAAATATAACAGAAATAGACAGCACTCATAAAATCTCTTAAATTAAGCAGAACCGGTTAAGGTATAATATGAATCAAGAAGACATTTATAGTTAACTAGTATATGTCATGAATTTCTCTAAACCAATGGCACAGATATGTTAACATACACAGTTGTATTTCAAGACACTTCAATAAATTATTCAATATGATGATTATCAAAATATTGTGTTATAAAATATATGTACAATATGTAAATACTGATACTAAACATTCTTATCAAAGAATAAATATCACAGTTTGTCAATGAAAATTTTCATAAGAATAAAGTGTTAAGTTTCAAGATATATATTATGTTGAAAGAATTCTTTGACCTAATTATAATAATACTTAAAATCATCAAATGTTTCATGATCCAGGTTATAATTTACACTCATTAAAAAAAAGAAGTATTTATTAAAATACATAATATCAATTACATTGATAATCTCGTTTAGTGTAGATAAATATTAAGTTTTAACAATCTCATAAGAATATTGCCCAAGTGAATTGGTTTATAAAATAATATTCTAATACTATCTATTGCTATTTTAGTGCTTTGAGCAACTTCTGATATATAATTAGTATCACTTTGATCACCTATTTAGTGGTGCTGGAGTAACCTATTGAAAATTAAGATGAAGTGCAAACAGGACATTACCTTTACACAGAACACAGACCTTCATACCAACAAGAAAGAAACATAATTAGTAACTTACATATTTTAGCCATGACAAATGTCTATAGCTTGTTCATAAAGTTAGTAATGCATTGGTAACATTGTTAGAACATTTTCTCACTTTAAGAATGAGTAAAGCCACTTTTTTATATCTATCATAATTTTACATAAAAGTCCACATTATTCAAGCGCTTCTTTTTCGCAAGAACTCAAAATTAAAAATAATTCAGGTTTAAAACAAGTACTTCTGAAACAAGAAGTTATGAAAGATGTTTGTTTTGAATGACTGAGTGTTCCAAACCCCTGAGTGGATTCTTTTGCGAGCCTTTTACAGAATGGTACACCCCCAGCAGCACTGTTGTGGATAGTCAGGGGCGTGGACCTTTCTTTCCAGTCCGTAGATCCAGTAGCGTGTACTAACATCTTCCCACGTATAGTGGACCTCAGTCACCGGAACAGCCCGCAACTGTTGTCTCTGTTGAAAAAAAAATGTCTCACGTTTATATACTTGTCATTTTTTGAATGTAAAGAGCAAACTATTGGTCAATTTCAATATATTTCCTAATTGAAAAATATAAGATGACTGAGTTATTTTAAATTTTTTCGGGAGACAATGAAATTGTTCTGATACTTTATTTTCATTTTTAAGCATAAGGCTCAATATTAACATATTTTAAAAATTCGGAATACTACTTTGTCATGAAGAGCAAAGCATTGTCACTCTTAAGAAAACAGTGGTTTGATATATGTATATGCATTGTTAGACAACAGTATTGTAGATATTTTTTTTAAAACGAGAACAACAATACTGTTTAGCATAGACACGTCTCTTTTATTGGAATTATTCTTTCATGAGAGGGGGGGGGGAGAATGAGAGAGAACTGTAGGTTTATGTACTGATAATTATCAAAAACTTCTTTTTCTCCAACATTAGCATAATCTGAAGATGGAATATTGATATGGTGTCATGATATCAGCTGTAAATAAAATATAGTGAATGAAACAATGGGATACCTGTTTCAGCATTCTCTCATTTGGAAATGCTCCCTTGTGTTGGTTGACGATCCTGATAGAATTGTTGTTAATCTCAGCGATTGGATACGATGTTATTGGGAATACCTTTAAATAAATACAACTTCTAATTATTTCTCCCAAACCATTTGTTTTAAAAATTACTAAAGATAAATATTAAATTAAACTGTAGATTTGTAGTTCACTTGTCTGAAAAAATGGGATACGTGTTCGTCCCATTTTTTCAGACAGTGTCCTAGTCAAGAGAATTAGATCAACATTTCCGAAGAAAACAAGACAAACACTCATTGGTAAACACTTGCAATTTCAATATGAATTGAATTTCTGCATGCTTACCTGGTCTAGAACCTGTTCAAACACCATTTCTCCGCCCACTTCTTTCACTAAGTGATCCGGCATATCAGAACGTTCAATGATGTGTTCACCAACGTGATTTGTACTGCAAAGAGAACACATTCTCATGAAGAATAACCAGATTATCAAAATATAGCGCACTTCTGTCCGATTTCTTTTTATTTTTCAGATCGAAGTCAGCCTGCCACTCATGACACAAACAATGTGTATATTTTAGCTGTTGTTTTGCAAGTGTCGTTAGTAAGATCATAAACATTTTCGATTTTTTCATTACTAGTTTCAGTCAAACATGCAAAAGTAATTTTAGTTCAGGATGATGAAGATTATGGTCCTCCTCAAAAGAAAATTCACAGACAATTAAATGGAGAAACTGAGAAAATACCAATATTTTCTACAGATCATTCCTCGAACTATTGGGCCTGGAATTATCAAAGAAGATGGGTGAACAAGGCGTGCAGAATGCCTATAGCTTCAGATATTAATAAAATCATATTCAATTTGTGAATTAAGTATTTAAAATAAAGTTCTCATTATTGAAATTTATGAAATTATGATTAACAAAACTTTTCTGAGAAAAAAGATCTCGGAAAAATTATTCTTTTATTAAAAAAAATAAAATGGTATTCGTGAGATTCGAACCCCTATCAATAAAAACCCGGAGTATCATATTGTTTTGAGACTAACACGCTAACCACTACGCCACGCAGCTACTGACGAATAGTGGCATTTAAATCATGTTTGTGATATGACCTTGACTTAATGGACTTCAAGTATTTCTCGGAAAGATACGAATGCTTTGTCATAAAAGTGTACTTTTAAGGTATAGTGGGTCTTTGCTCCATGTTTTTGTAAACCAAAAAATGTATATTTTTATGCAAACTTTTAGGATCAACTTTCAAAAAAATGGAGCGAAGACCCACTCACATCGAAAAATTTTGTTAAAGTGTGAGAAAATGATCCTTTTTGTCCTCTTTAGTGTGTGTATGCTATTTCGTAGGCAAATAATTTCAGTCTTTGTGAGATTTTTGCAAATTGTAGAGATTTAGCATAAAATAAACTTTAATGTTAGATGAAATATCAAAGAAAATTTTTATATAATTGAGATTTTATTTTCCACTTCATGTTTGTCGCACTATAGGCACTTCGCCCGCCTTGTTCACCCATCTTCTTTATGTAATGTCTGCTTTTAGTGCAAAAATTAAAAATTCTTACATACATTTTTACAAGGATGAGGCTTCAATAGGTCAAAATATTTTGAAGAAGGATACATATCTCAAAGTTAATATACAAGTATGCTCGCTCAACAATTTAACAACATTGTCCGCCATGGACGAATTGGGCCATAGAAGGGTGAAAATCATTTTAAGAAGGAACATTTTCATCATCTTATCTGGACAAAGGAACAACTAATAAATGACTAACTGACAGCTGAGAAAATTTCGTAATAGGGATTCAGTGTTTTTCTTAAAACCAAGTAATACAATTTCTATAAAGTCTCTTCTTAATAATTATTCTATTATACTTTTACATGGAATTCCAGCATAAAGAGAATATATGCTGTGTTTGATGTTCGGTATCAGCCGAATGTATAGGTTTTCATGTTTTATGTACGTTTTGATACACTGTAGTTACAATGTATCTGTGAGTTTTACATGTAACATGTATTTGATATTTAAAATGTGACATGATATTTTTGATACAAACATAACGGTGGGTTCTATGGATGTTTAGAAATTTACAATGCGACAGTAAGTTCTATGTTATGATAATTACAGTGTGACAGAGTTCTATGTATGTGTTGATATTTGCAATGTGACAGAGTTCTATGTTATGATACTCACAATTTGACAGTGGGTTCTTTGTATGTTTGATACAATTGCGACAGTGAGTTCTAAGTTATGGTGCTTACAATGTGACAGTGAATTCTTTTTTTTATGATACTCACAATGTGATAGTGAGTTTTTATGTTTTGATACTTACAATGTGACAGTGAGTTCTATGCTATGATACTTACAATGTGACAGTGAGTTCTATGTATGTTTTGATGTTCCTGTAACCGTCACATTCATCACAAGTTATTCTACCATCACCACCGCATCTGTCACAGCTGTAATAGAGACATTTATACACATCTCTGAAATATTACTTTTCAGAAACAAGCATACAAACATTGCATTTGAGACATATAGCGTTATCATTCTTTGTCATTTACATTCATTAACTTGTATTTAAAGGGTATGCCTACATAATTTAATAACTTGAATTCTAGATGTTTGAGAATGACATTTCAATGCGTCATAATTTTGTAAGAAAAAGTCAGAATTGTTATCATCAAACAGGAATTATTGTAGATTCCCGCATACATGTAAGTCTTCTGAGTAATTTTACCACATCATGAGAAAATAGATTTACATTTTCTTTAAGAAACTCTTAAGATAGCATCTCGTCCTTACCGACATATTCCGTCACCATGGCAACGGTGGCAGGTTTCATGGACAGCATGACCCAGATTAGGGTCAAATCGTTCGTGAAATCCTCGCCGATCACAGTCCTCACATTCCGTCTGACCCCAACCATGACATTCCCAGCAGCGGAAATATCCTTGGGCATCGCAACGGTGACATGGCTGTAAGAGATAAGAGCGCTTTAATTTTCAAATCTTTGACGGAGGCGGCCCCTGATTTTGATTTTTCATTCAAAGTTTAACAATTATGGAATTTAAAGTAACAAAAATTGTATAGAGCATGATTGCAGAAAGGTAGAATTTTGAAGATTATAGAAAGTTTACAATTTCTTAATATTTTAGAAATTTAATATTTGAATAATTTTCGATCAAAAAAGGTCCAAAACTGTATACCGGTCTAGGCATCGATTTTTTGTTAGTATCATCTGTCCTTAATCATCTTGTTTTAAGCAAGTTTTTGCCAGTAGATTTACGTAGAAACCGATTCCCCTTGAATGATAGAAAGTTTCTATAGTCCTACATTTTATTCAGAACATATATTATACATACAATAATTGCACATGCATAATTATTGTAAAGGACTTAAATATACATGTACATGTATTAAGTTTAGAATTAAGATTCGGAGATTGTTCTCAAATCTGGCAAAACTTACCCGAACGGTTGCTGTATGAGGAACCTCCATTTGCTTGACGTGTGTGTGGAACATACTGTCAGCTAAACAATGGATAGCCCAGGGTGGGGGTGGAGGGCCGTTCTCGGGGCCATCTACAGGGCCACCTCGGTAAGGCACATGCTTGAATCCAGTCTTTCTTGCTTCCGTAAACGTTTCTAAGGTATACTATAAAAAAAATCTTAATAAATGTTTTATTCTCATGATTATGTTTTCCACAGTAAATTAAAACTTGTCTAATCCAGACACCACTGTGCTGGATTAGACAAAAGTCCGGATTTGAGAATATTTTAAGCAATTGATTTTTTTGAAAGAGACGTAATGTTTACCTCGTAATAGGTAAGATGTCTTAATACTCAACATCCGGATTAGACATGTTTTACTGTACATTTAATACACTTTCCATGAAATGAATTATATATGAAAAGATACATGTATGGTGCCAATTGTTTTAGGACATGAATTAGTTAAAGGTGTCTTTGTTAAATTTGGACAAGATTGTTACGCACATGGAAGGCGGTTAAACCATGATGATGAGTGATGGTCATTTCTTGGGCTGGCTTGGCTCCATAGCAACAGTTCTCCGACACGAAATCAAGCATAGCTTGTCTACATGCCGCCTCATCCAAATTAGCAATGCTAGAAAAAAAGTGAGTATACTAAATTAAAAATTAAAAGTCAATCTCTTTATATGTACAAAAAATCACTTATAATATTCAACAACACAGCAAACGCTACTAATATTAATTTGTGAAAAGTTTAGAATTTATTTTGATAAATAACAAGCAAAAGCACTCACTCGGTAAACTCCATTGGCGGGGGTGGACCAGAGGGTGGCGGGGGTGGAGGTGGCGGGGGCATAAAATTCACTGGAAAAAAATCATAATAATTATTATTAATTGCATTGTACTTATCAATAATGAGAAACTTCGAATATTGGGCTATAAAATTTAAATAGATCATTCAAAAAAAAAAAAACAAAAAAAAAAAACTAGAGCGTTCTTATTGCAAAGGATATTGAAAATTTAAAAAAATTACTTTGTCCAAATCCCCCGACTTGTTCGTAGCCTGCAAATCTTGGCATGCCCTGCATTGGGGGTGGAGCCATGGGAGGAGGTCCCCCTCCGCCTCCCCGTCGAGGCGGTCCATTTCCTTGCCGGAAATCTGCAGGCGGCGGACCACCCATACCAGGATGCCATTCTGTGTAGAAAGTAAAATAAATTTCACGTTAAAAGTTCTTCTGACTAAATTTTCTAAAATCTACATGTAAATTTCATGTTTATAATATACTTTAATCTGAATATAAAAATCTAAATATTAGAATTACATGGTTGGTGTATTTTTTCCTGTGAAAATTGATAATATTCTGTTAGTGATAACTTACGTTGAGGTGGTCCTCCGACTTGTCCTGAAAAAAAAAAAAAAAAAAAAAAAATCGTTAATTTACTGGTCTGTTTTTTTTTTATTCATACTAATATACACAAGAAAAATTAACAAGCAAAAAAAAAAAAAAAAAAATTAAATAAATAAATAAAGTAAAATAATAATGATATAAAAAAAAATAAAACAAATATGAATACTTAAAAAAAAATCATTAATAACACGCATAAATATGAAAAACTGTTTGCCGCCAGGAAATTTCACTTTATCTATTTATTGTATTTGTTAATTTATTTAATTTTTTTGTTTGTTTGTTTTATAATTTATTCATTTACATATTTATTTATTTCTTATGTTTTTTAATATCGTTCTTAAATACTCTTTTATCATGTGAACAGTTAACATTATATACTAGAAATCAGGCCAAAATAAAAAATACCTTTGTTTCCCTTAAGGCGACCGACCCAATTAAATCGCGCCGACTGAAAAGTTTTTTTTTTAAATAAGATAATTCCAGAATTTTTTTTTTTTAATGTTCATCAATGAAAACACAATTTCATCAGAATCCTTTTTATCAGAACGGCGGATTTTGGTAACTTTGATTTTCAAGCGTTTGTTGGAAACAAAATGGCACCCACAACACGTGGTCAAAGAGGGTTAGTTCGAGTTATAAATAACGGCGGCGTATCAACCTTATGCCTTTACATGTAGTTATTAGAATCCTACACTCTTCAAATATTTCGCTAATAAAATATATCACGACTAATTACGATTGTTTCTGTGGTATATACTAACCGCTCTTTTAAAATTAAGGTACGTAGTATCCATGATACATGATAAGGCCCGCCTTAATTCCTCATGAACACATCAATCAATTTCACGACATTTTATTTAATTTGAGTTTTGATCTAATAAAAATTTCATCTATTTACCTATGTGTACTACATGGGACCATACGAGTTGTTGTTAATATGTCTGCATATTTAATACTGATGAATAGAATTCAGACGATCCTTTCTTTCATGCCTTTTATTCATGGCTTAAACTTCGTGACTTTGACATTATGTATGACATATTTATCATTTTTAGATATATATGGTTCTGTTCCTTTAAATATTATTTACTTACTCTTTCCAAATAGTTTTGAAATCATGATACAGGTTCTTTAGACGTCGAGTGCAATTTTCTTTAATTAGGGCCTTGAAGATTGGTTGTTTCTTTGCTTTAAATTCCTTAAGTTTGAGAATTGTTGAACATTAGCCTAGTGAAGGGCCCCAAATTTAGTCTTGTACACGGCACTTTTTGTCATTAATGGTGAGGGCCCTTTTTCGTGCCAACATCTAATGCGCCACTGGACCTAAGTTTTTACGGTTTCATTCGAAGGACCGGTTTCAACGTCCTACATTCGGATTTGAACCTACGACTTTGAATTTAAATTAGTTCCTTTCTCCGGGACTCCAAAAGGAAATGCTCTAGACCACTGCACAATTCGAAGCTCTTGACATTGCATATGTAAGCACAGGAACCTGATTGTAGGTTTGATAAATATACTCTGATTTCAAGTCCTTGTGTATCCAAGAATCTTGTCTTTTAAATATTCGATTTCAATAAATTTACACTGGCGTCAGATATTTTACAAGTTCAATTGAACAATAGTTGTAGATTAATTTACCTTATACATGTATTTTGCTTTTAAACGGCGTTTGTATGAAATTCTGTGTAGAAATTGCTTTTCTGTACTTTTCTTATATAAAAAGGTACATGTATTATTCCATTCAATTTCAAAATGTATTTTCAAAGCTGCTGTCAGAAGAAAAAAAAATATTTACCTACCTACCTACCCAACTTGAGATTTTATGGTCGGGTTAGGGGAAACAAAGATATTTTTAATGATGGCCTCACCAATTTCTGGTTTATGTGAATCAGTTCATGAAAACCTCATAACAACCTTTAATCATATTAATTAATTTCTCGTTCAGGTTTGATCAGTGTGTTTTTCAAAAAGTTTTGTTAAACTGGACACCCGGATTGAGAAAGGCTAGACTCAATATCTATTGAATGTGAACATCTTCCATTAATATGAAAAAATAAAATTGATTTTATGGAGATAATTTCTTACCAAAACGTCATTTCATATAACTGTTCTCATTTAGTTTTCTGAGAACTAAATTCTAAAATTAAAGATCAAAATTAAACTTTTCAAGACAGAATTTGGACCATTGGTTGTTCCATACAATTGATTAAAGCTCTACAATACAGGCTAAAAATAATCTTTGAAAAGATCGTGCAAGGGATTTGGAAATAAGAAGTTGTAATGTTTTCGTCACAACACAAACTTAATCGGTTTTTAAACTGTGTGACGTAGCTAACGAGTGCTCAAAGTTTAAAGGTTCGCGATTTGTGAAGATCGAACCAATAAACATATAACTTGGGTTGTAATAAAAAATTCTAATATATATCTGATATGTTACAAAAACACAAAAAGAATTATATAACCAGCTGAATACAGTATTTCAACATACATGTCTGTAACTATGAATTCAATGATTGAAAAATATTGAACTGTTGAATGAAACTAAACTTTGCTACCAATGTGTGGACAGTATATGATTAAGTTAATGATTTTTTTATCGTGCAGGCACGAAGTATTTGGGTGGGAGGTTGGGTGGTGGCTTTTTTCCAAACGTTTTACTGTTGATATTGTTCATGGGCGGTGCCCCCCCCCCCCCTCCCATTTTTTGTTGCAGTATATTCTCAATAAAAATTGTTTGAGGGAAAAGCTTCTCAAATATTTTTCAGGTAAGTAACCTTTTTTTTCTGACTGCCCCCCCCCCTCCCCCCACTTCCAAAAACGATGGTGATTGTCTGTCGTGAAAATGATTATACATTAACAAACTCATAAACTAGAAAATTGTAGCCTTAATTTTTACTACCAGCATTATAATACGAAAATTTTCCCCCAAAATGATTATTTTAGATGTTTTAAAATTATTTATTTCTATTTATTTCTTTTTATAAATTATAGAAAAAAAAATGTCACGATAAATCGCAATAGATTATATATTGTGATCTTAAGAAACGATTTAAAAATCAATTCAAAAATGAGTATGCAGGTTGAATTATTTGCTTTGTGCATATAATTTTGAAAAAAAAAAAATCAATATTCATTGAGTTAATCCACTTTCATTCATGCATCTCTTAGAAATCCGTCTGATCATTCAATGCAAATGCATGCAGATATCATCTACACATACTAGTCAATATATTTAAATTGCTACAGGTGAAACTATAAGGAAAAGACAAACTGATCTTTGAAAGTGATTTATGGAAAATTTTCACAAAAAGATTTTTGTTATTAATTATTAAATATAAGACTAAATCTGGAATAAAATATCTTACCTGGATGCGCCATGTCAGTCTATCCCGTTACCACCGACGCTACCATAGCAAGGACATCAATATTTATGGAACCGGGTAGGTGTACGGCGCACTGGTATTGCCATAGTTCTTTACAAGCTTATCTTTTAAAAAGATTGGTGAGCTAGCGCTGTAGCATAATAAAATACAGAAGAAGATATCTGAACCATTTGTTAAATTTGCTGAATCGATTAATTATTAACAGGAAGGCAGATTGGTACACTGCGGGTTGAGTTGGGGGTGGGGGTGGGGGTGTCGCAATTCAGAATGGTGAATCTAAGAGTGTGCTTCATGTCGGCAATGGCATAACTCCTAACTGTGCTTTAAGCATTCTGTATTTTACTGTAATTTCAATTTCGAGGTGAAAAATAAAAGGTCAGAAGAACCAATGAGCACCTTCGGGCCTTTCCGGCAAGCTCGGAAAACATATCCGAGGTTGTCGCGGTTTTCCGAGCTTGACGGAAAGATCCATGAAAGTAGATTAGAAAAGCTATGTATTCATTACAACTTTAGAAATAACAGTCTTGGTTTTATAAGACCCGAGTTACTGTTAGTTTTTGTTCATTTACGTGCAGGTTAGACAAAACACGAAACTTCAGATCATATGTATTTTCAGATGATAAACACTAAATTGACAAGTCTTTCCGACATACTCTGAAAAAGATTTTTGTTGTTGTTGTTGTTGTTTTTTTCCGAGCTTGCCGGAATTATCCACTAAGGTGGTAAAACTGTCAGGAAAGCTAGATGTCTAGAATCTTGGCATTATATGGCAAAATTTTTTCTTTTACTTTTATGTGTAGCTTAGACAATAAATTAAAAAAAATTCATAATCAAGATCTAGACTGGTATTGACTGTCTCTAACCTACAAAATGTATTTCGCGCATATCAGACAGGAAAGGCCAGTGTAAATTCGGATCATTTCTATTTTTGTATGACAAAACGAAATTGTTATCGTACAGTCTATCTCTATCTACAGTAGTTTTCCCAGAATCCCCGACCGTGAAGTCGAGCATGCGTATTTCAGAAATATAGACTAACGTAGTTGCTAGCGCTCGAGAGCGCTAGCAATAAATTTAAAACTCGTGTTGGAAATTTGAAACGTATAAAGGATATCCGCTCCTCAGCCAGGAACAATAACTCTTAAAATAATATAAGTATTTAAGTTTTTAAAAAAAGTCTCAAAATGAAACTTGAAATTGATTTCAAGCTTCTCAATATTATTCAAGGTTCTTTAAAGTCTTAATTAGAAACAGTCTTGTAAAAAGTAGACATTTGTACCCCATAAAAGTACAAAAATAAATACATTTTCAGAGAAATCAAATTTCCTTAAATCTAGCCTTAGATACCAATGTTTATAAGCATGATATTAAATTAGAAGTGATCTATATATGATGATTCCGTGCAATGATAGCACAAGCTTTTTACATTATGTATTATATAAAAATTGAAACAGAAGAATTAAAGTACCGTATAAGTATAAAAACATGCACTTTTTGCAAATGCCTGGATACCTGTAGTTTTTATCCAAAAATATATTTGTTGAACAATTTTCAATTTGGAAATGTATAGCGGGTGCTTTTGTTCGTGTTTCTTGAAAATATATTTGAGGTTTAACAATTACCCATAATTATGTGATATGATTAACTATAATGACAAATTTTGAAGAAATAACATGGGTAAATACACATTACTTTGAAAATTCAGAGACTTTTTTATGAGTATTTTCAAGAACTCAGTTCCTGATTTTCAGAACCTGGGATCGGACTACCTTAAAAAAACGTCATTGCTATATGATAAACTGATAACAAGTCCGCATTTCGAAATGTCTTCATAAGAAAATGATAGCAATATAAACGAAACTCGATACTCATAAAAAATTAAAGGCCCTCATGAATTACCATTTCACTATTAGATACATTATCACCCTAGCATTGTATGAAAATAAATAGATAAATTATGTCAGTCAATTTACTTGCATGTAATATTTAAGTTCTGTACCATGGAAAAATTCTATCTCTGCTTTGTTTAAAAAAAGAGGCCCATAGGCCCTGATGTTAACCTGAGTATCATGGATTTCTCAGGTTATGAACCCTTATCCCCACCTGGGAACTAGAACTCTGATATACTAGTATCTTGTAACAAATACTTTGCATTTTGGTAAGGATAATATAATCTTTATAATATTTATTCTACTTTTCTCCCAGAAATGTAACGATTGTCGCCGATTAGCGGTCGTCATAAATGAAACGGTGGAATAATAGATAAATGTTATCAAAATCGCTGACGTCGGAAATTTTTCAATGTACGAAATTATACTGTACAAGCATTCCCTTTTTACCTCAACCGTATCAACCTAACAAAAAAAAAAAAAAAAAAAAAAAAAAAGAAAAAGGACTTACGAAGATAGTCCATCCAAGACGGGTAAAACAATATTATAGGGCCTAAGGAAATTCAGAAAAGCCAGATCTATCCCTTTTCACGAAAAACCTACCACTCGATCAATCTCTTCTCCATAAACCTATCTTCAATATACAACATACCTGTCTTTATTTTCTTTCAGCGTTCAAACTCTGCTTGCAGACTGGAAAATTCGTTTCACTCCACGATGTGCCATGGATTTCACTATTTTATATATTTATTTTATTATATGGCTCATTGCTTAGTATAATCCTGTCAAGAGTTCTTCTGCTAAATGTATAAAGGGTAAAGAAGATTTTTGAAGATTTATCCATATCAATTTTGATGGTTTTGGACACAACCCTCACAGCCAAAGACCAAACAATTCTCAATTTTTATTCCCTTGACCTATATAAGTATATATAGATACTACATATACGAAAATTGTTTTAATTTCTTCATTCGTTCAAAGAAGCTAAAAATGTTCGATAGTTTGCGACCAACGGGCAACGCCGGCGCCGGACAAAAAAGATACATGTAGCCATCGGTCACCTGAGCAACTCAATCCTAAGGTAGTAACTACAAGCTAATTCAGAGAAATTGTCCCCCCCCCCCCCGGCTTAAGGAAAAAAAAGAAGAGGGTAGAAGAACTGAAAAAAATATGCAGATATGGAAAGAAAAAAAAGTCAACATTGAACTTCCAGCTCTTTGCCTTATCATCGATCGGGGTCATTTTTAGGTTAAAGAAATTCATGATTTAAATTTCAATGCAAAAAGCTTGTAGTGAACTAAAGTTATCATCTGAAAACTGTATATGCAATATAAAAATTTCTGACCTTGGTGTTCGACCTTCTGACCTCAAAATCAATAGAAATTTTTTTTAAGGCATATTGACTAAAGGTATAAAATTTCATTGCAAAAGATAAAAGAGGACTAGAGTAGTTATCACCAGGAAATCATTTATGCAAAATAGGAATTTTTCACCTTGTTCTTTTGATCTAAAAATCAAAAGGGGTCTTCTTTAAATCACTTGGAGTTAAGATATATAAAATTCCATTAAAAAGAATCAAGGAAACTAAAGATAGCATCTAGAAACGGTATGAATTTCTGACCTTGACCTTTGGACCTAAAAATCGACAAGGTCCTCTTAAAGTCACCAGAAGCTACGATGTATAACTTGATTGGAAAAAAGCTAAAAGAAATCTTAAGTTATGATCTTGAAGCCATTTTTTGCAATATATAAATTTCTGACCATGACCTTTTGACCTCAAAATAATAAGGGTCTCTTTAATGTCATAAAGGGGTTGTGAAATAAAATATCATTGTAAATTCTCAAAGCCCTTTTAATATATAGTCTGGAAACAAAAGTGTTACACAAACGTATGAAATTCAATAGGTTTTTTTTTAAGGCCATAGAGAGTTGAGATATAAAATTCATTGTAAAACCTCAAAGGCTTCCTTAGATACATATGTACATGTATAATCTGGAAACGAAAGTGTTACACACAGACAGAATATATGAATTTAAGACCTTGATCTTTTCACCTCGAAATCAAAAGTGGTCTTTTTAGGCCAAAGAGACGTGTAATATTAAATTTGAATGAAAAAGCTCATAACAATTTAAAGTTTTCATCTGGAAATCATTTTTTACAATATATAAATTTCTGACCTTGACCTTTGACCTAAAAAATAGGTTTTTCTTTTTTAATTCCATAAGGAGTTGTGATATAACATTTCACTGTAAATTCTCAAAGACTTTTTTCAGATAAAGTGTTACACACAGACGTATGAATTTATGATCTTGACCTATTGATCTCGAAATAAAAAGTGAAAAAAAAATTTCATTGCAAAAGCTTAAAGGCTTTTTAAGATATCACCAGAGAAACAAAAGTGTAACACACAGACAGGATGTACGGATTTTTGACCTTGACCTTTTCACTTCAAAATCAATATGGGTCTTCTTTAGGCTTTAGGGAGTTGTGATATAAAATTTCATTGCAAAAGCCCAAAGGCTTTTTGGGATATCCTCTGGAATCCAAAGTGTTACACACAGACAGAAGAACAGGCGAACCCAAATTAATATCCTCCAATTTTAGTGAAAGAGAGGGACAAAAATTTTCTAAGTTGCAGAATTCCATTTCAATGGCAAAAATTCATTTTTCCGCTTTACTTTGCATGGATTTTTTGTGGACTCCGTTATTGATTGGACAACAGTTGACAAGATGTGCGTGTTAAATGGTTGCAAAGCAAAGAAACGTACACGTGTTACATTATATTTATAATTGTTTGTTGAAACCTAAATTAAGTATCAGTAACACATCTCTATTTTTCCACCTAGTATAAGAATTTTACTTTTTAGAGTGATTCAATTTTTGTTTGTGTGTTGATAAACTTGCATAGCTCTTGGAAGTTTATGCAAGTTGATTATTTAAAATATTTAACAACCGTCATTTCCATTCAGTATGTTAATGTGTAGACAAAGAAAATCTCACTTATCTTTCCAGCTTTTAGGTCAATGTGTCAAATGGATTTTTTTCAGGGATTACCTGTAATATTTGATATTTTGGGGATTTCATAAATTTCTTAAAATGGCTGGATTTAAATGTACTTGAAAATGCTAGACTTAGTGATTTCAAAAAATACTCATTTTTTGTGACAAACATACATGTACATGCTTGCATATAGATGGTGAATGGTGATACCTTCAGATGGTGAAAAATTATTGCTGGGACAATAAAACACTATGAATTATTCATTAATCTTGTTTATTAAAATAAAATATTCCAGATAAATAATTATTATGATGCAAATAATCTGCATGAAATCATAAAAGAAATCACAAGTAACATATCAAAAAGGAACAAATATTAAAATGTAATACATAATTGTTTGGAATGACCTTTTCCCTCCCTTTCTGTGTATAGAATTCTCATTGAAAGTCTTACATCATTATATCATTATTTAACAGTTAAAGCTCCATATTCAAAACATATAAAACAAATAAGAAATTTCATGATCTAACAGTCATTCTACCTGAATGTGTACATAACAAATCAATGTAACAATTGAAAGGAAAAACAAAACCATAATTATTTAACCCTTTTCATTATGCCAAGAAATATATGAGCAAATTCAAATGAAAACCTGTCTTTCATAATGTACAATTTTATGGAATACATATTCTCCCTAGTAATTCCCCAAAATGGTCTCCTCTTTTTTCCCATGATTCTCTGTTTACCCATAGTTCTCTACTTCCTCTCTCCCATGAGTCTAAGGAGATGAAGGAACAGATTGATGACATCCAGGTAGAGGTTGACAGAGGCCACGATGTAATCTTCTGGAGACAGTTTGTGCATCATCATGCTTGTGTCAAATATAATGAAGAGAGAAAAGAGAAGAGCTCCGCCTGCTGCTATCAATCTGTCCATCAGGACTGTGGGGAAAAACAACTGTCCAAAAAAAAAAAAAAAAAAAATAGTTATTTTTCATAAATCAGTAAAGTCACGTTTTTTTTTTTGTTTTTTTTTTGCTAAAATAATCATTACTTGTTCTTTAATTATAAAAGACAGTTAAAAAAGAGTAAGGTTCTTTCTTTAAAAAAAAAAAAAGAGGCCCATGGGCCACATCGCTCACCTGAGTAACTTTGGCCATGCTGTTCCTTACCAGATTTCCCCCCGTTTAATATACCTATTGTGGCCCCACCCTACCCCTATGGGGTCATGATTTGAACAATTTAGAATCTACACTACCCCAAGATGCTTCCATACAAGTTTCAGCTTTTCTGGCCCAGTTGTTCTTGAGAAGAAGATTTTTAAAGATTATTCCTATATATTTCAATGTAAAACTTGGATTCCCTATTGTGGCCCCACCCTACCCCTGAGGGTCATGATTTGAATAATTTAGAATCTACACTACCCCAGGATGCTTCCATATAAGTTTCAGCTTTTCTGGCCCAGTGGTTCTTTTGAAGAAGATTTTTAAAGATTTTTCTTTTGTATTTCAATGTAAAACTTGGATTCCCTTTTGTAGCCCCGCCCTAGCCCCAGGGGTCATGATTTGAACAATTTAAATCTACACTACCCCAGGATGCTTCCATATAAGTTTCAGCTTTTCTGGCCCAGTTGTTCTTGAGAAGAAGATTTTTAAAGATTTTTCTTATGTATTTCAATGTAAAACTTGAGAAGAAGATTTTTAAAGATTTTTCCTATATATTTCTATGTTAAATTTGGATTCCCTATTGTGGCCCCGCCCTACCCCCGAGAGTCATGATTTGAACAATTTAGAATTTACACTACCCCAGGTTGCTTCCATATAAGTTTCAGCTTTTCTGGCCCAGTGGTTCTTGAGAAGAAGATTTTTAAAGATTTTTCTTATATATTTCAATGTAAAACTTGGATTCCCCATTGTGACCCCACCCTACCCCCAGGGGTTATGATTTGAACAATTTAGAATCTACACTACCCAAGGATACTTCCACATAAGTTTCAGCTTTTCTGGACCAGTGGTTCTTGAGAAGAAGATTTTTAAAGATTTTTCCTATATATTTCTATGTAAAATTTGGATTCCCTATTGTGGCCCCACCCTACCCCCGGGGGTCATGATTTGAACAATTTAGAATCTACACTACCCAAGGATACTTCTACATAAGTTTCAGCTTTTCTGGACCAGTTGTTCTTGAGAAGAAGATTTTTAAAGATTTTTCCTATATATTTCTATGTAAAACTTGGATTCCCTATTGTGGCCCCGCCCTACCCCCGGGGGTCATGATTTGAACAATTTAAAATCTACACTACCCCAGGATGCTTCCATATAAGTTTCAGCTTTTCTGGACCAGTGGTTCTTGAGAAGAAGATTTTTAAAGATTTTTCCTATATATTTCAATGTAAAACTTGGATTCCCTATTGTGGCCCCGCCCTACCCCCGGGGGTCATGATTTGAACAATTTAAAATCTACACTATCCCAGGATGCTTCCACATGAGTTTCAGCTTTTCTGGCCCAGTGGTTCTTGAGAAGAAGATTTTTTAATGACCCCACCCTATTTTTGTCTTTTCTTGATTATCTCCCCTTGTAAGGGGACTTGGCCCTTTATTTTAACAATTTACACTCCCCTTTACCCAAGGATACTTTGTACCAAGTTTGGTTAAAATTGGCCCAGTGGTTCTTGAGAAGCAGTTGAAAATGTGAAAAGTTTACAGACGGACGGACGGCGGACAACGGGTGATCAGAAAAGCTCACTTGAGCTTTCAGCTCAGGTGAGCTAAATACCAAAAAAAAAAAAAAGAAAGTTTTAATACCTGTAGGAGTCCAGCAAAAATCAGGATTAAAAGGCAAGCAAACAATCTACAATTATACAAAATATTACTTTAACAATAATCTGTCATCATTACCAATCATGAATAAATGTAAAAATATTAGGGTGGACAAAATTTTTGCAAATTCTGCAATAAGTAAAGTTTTGCGATATCATGTGAATGGCTTCACGTAAGGTATCATACTAAACAACAAAGCAACACATTTTGTAATCTATAAACGTCCACAAAAATAAGCTTCATTATTTCATGCTTTGTTCCATGGAAATTGCAATATCTTACCCCATAAAAATACCAATGTTTACAGTATTATTCTTCAGTATTCATTAATCTTCAAAACCTACTTCTTTTAAAAAATATTATCAATATAAATTTACAAATACTAAGTTATATGTGAAGCACTATACATCCAGTAATATGTACATTTTGTTCAACTCTTTTCTCCCCTTAAATTTCACCTAATTTCATTAAATTTTAATAATTAATTTTAATAAAATCTGACTTGGATCTATTAAAACATATTTAATGTTTCTGGCAGAAGAACATCTGTTCAAAATGCTCAGTGTCCAGTAATATCCACGATCTCTTACCCTGCTCCCCAGGAGCTGAAATCTTTCTTGCTTTGTAATGTATACATGGTCAGGCTGACTGCTACCACCAGTGTCATCAGAAATGCTTCCAACACACTGTGTACTTTGTAGAATGTTACTTTTTAAAAATAAAATTGAGAAATAATTAAACAACTCTAAGGAAATTACTCATACTGTTGTTTCTATGTAAAACTTGACTAAGCTGGATGTTGAGAATTACAAAATACTGTCCATTATGAAGTTTACTTTAAGTCCTTTTCAGTAAATTTAATTGTTCACAATGTTGTCTAATCTGGTATATTTTCGTGGAACCAGCTATGTCCAGATTAAATAATTTTTACTGTACTAAGAGCTAGTTGACTTAATATATAGCACCTTTTTATTTAGCACTTATTTGTATGTATAAAAGCCCACCCTCACAATGTCAGGGGTCCTGATTCAACATATTGCTGTTTGACCCCTGACAAATTTCATTCAATATTCTATGGGCTGACTGCAGCGACATCTTTCAGGAATATTACAAATCGTGATTATTTTTCTTATATCTTGACCAATCAAATTAAATCCATTGGTGAAAAACAACCTTAACACCTGCAATGAGGTGTCAACTGCTTACTTTCTGTTTATGTTTTATATCAACTTATGAAAGCCCCTATCTGATTGGTGCTTCTCAATGAGAGAGTAAGGACCCCTGACGATGTGAGGATGGTATAAAGCCATTTTCATGATTTTTAAAACATTGTATAGTTGACACTTACCAATAGTCCCAAGGCAATAAGCTTCAAACATTGTCTGTAAAAACGAAAAAATGTTTCTAGCTTTACAAAATTAATTCGAGAATTTACATTATTAATCTAACCTATGAATGTATAAAATATGCATACATGTATTTTTCAAGTATACATTACTATAACAGTCACATATTTGTGTAAAGAATAACTTTCCAATAGTGACAAATGAATAAAAACTTTTGACTACTGATTTTTGACTAAATAGACGCTGTGACAAATTTCCACAGAAAATTTGTGACAGCTACAAAGCATTAATTAATGCATTGTGGAAAAATGTACATTTACAGTATACAAAAAATTCTTCTATATACTTACAAACAGCCCCAGAAGGACATAGTTTGTGGGGGTTTGGTTTTTGTACACCATTAGAGCAATAACCAACCCAATGCTGCCAATCATTGCTACCAGAAGCATCCAGGGACTGAAAGAGAGAGTGTGTAGAGTGAAAATTTCATAGTTCAACAACTGAAATGTATATCTTTAATGAACAGAAGGTATATAATAAACTTAACCAAGCCCCCCCCCCCCCCCCCCCCCCAAAAAATGTACACAAGAATGGGCAATAAAAATGTGATTGCTTTCTTTTACATGTAGAAGATTGTATATTATAAAATCAATGTATTTATTAGTTTCATTAAAAATATCAACATCTTTATGCAACATTAAATCATCCTCCACATGTCTACATCAATATTATTGTACACCTTACAATTTGGTAGATTTCTTGCTCTAGCAGTTCAGAAACTGTTTACCTTTGCTGTACATAATTGGTGACTGTTTCACTGGACATAAACAGGAAGCCTACGATTGTGGTCAGTAAGAGCTGGGTAGACAAGATTCCATACACCTTCCTCAGGAAGCCTGAAATGTACAAAAAATAAAATAATCTTTGTGTTAATCTTTGTGTTAAAATTGAACTCTTTGATAGGGCATGATTACTTTAAGGGAGCTAAATGTTATGGCAATCATGCGATGGAGCCAAGACCAACAAATGAAGACAGCAAAAAATTTTAGCATCAGTCTCTCATTGAAACTTCATTGTTTCATTGCTCTTGCATTTTCACACACTTGTGATCTCACCCTTCCATTTTCCACATCCCTTGTCCCGGCTGGGGGGGGGGGGGATCAAGGGAGCTAGCTAGTAAATAGTGAACCTATCAATAACCATAGATTTCTGAATAGTACATGCAATCTTTTATACTCACACATACATGTATTAAATATTCTTTTTTTACTTACTCTTAAAAGTTGATTTTATGTAATGTAACCTGGACAGTAACTGACATGACCGATGAAATCTATTTTGACATGTATAAGTATTTCATCATGTTCATGTTTTATTCTTAAAAAAAATATAATTTACAAATTGTTCTCTGCAGTACTTACCCATTCTGATATAAACATGGGCGGTAGCCACATTGGATCCATACATGAAGTCGTCAACTATTGAATGCTTCCCAAACTCATCACTGGAAGGTTTTGTTGCCATCTTTATTCTATTTAATAAATAAAAGAAAATGTAAAAAATGTAATACCTTTCCTCCCCTTACACTTTAGAATCTAGTACTATGGGACCTTCCCTATACCTATACACAGGATCTATTCTTTCAATCCTTAAAAAAGACTAATAGTCAAAACATAAACAGACCAGCAACATCATGTGATCCCCCCCCCCCCCCCCAAACCTCTTGAAGAGCATGACTGAAAATGAAAATTAACTGCTGCATGGTTACTGTCAGAAAACAATTACACTGACATTATTGTATTAATTATATTCTTCCAGAATTTCTGAACTAAGCACTGCTATTTCATAAAAAATTAACCAATAAAGTTCTTTGATATAATGCTCACTCTGTTTCACAGGAATTCTTTTCATTTGTCATTGTAGAATTTGGAGAAACAATAAACCATGCATAAAGATATCAATAGTCATGACAGTCCTTGGTGAATAAATTAGATGATAAGAAGTAAGTCAGATAAGGCCTATAATTATGTCTCTTCTAGACCCAAGAGAAAAACTACACTACAGGAATATTTAACTTTTAATTACTAACGTATCATATGACATTAGATTGGAGGGGGGGGGGGGATTGTTCGTGATAGGACATTTTAATGTTTTACTTTCAGACCTGTTTATTGAAATTATTGTAAAGTTGTGATAATGTATAATAGTGGTGAAGTTATCAATCTTTTTTCAGATAATTTTCTACAGTTAATCATTCCCTAAATCATGTGCATGCTCAACCTTGAATTCCAGATACATGTATTTATATTTTTATGAAAAAAATACTTGTACAAAATTAATGTACTATTGAATTTGGATAAGCATGTAAATAAACATTAATATCAACAGTCAAACTTTAACTATTAATAATATATTATGTATAATTGATTCCCTGCATGTACATGTTGTGCAAACTGTGTTTTACTGAAAAATGACTATAGTTTACACATTTGTCTTCTTTGTCATCATGATCATGCATATTTGTGTGATTGTGTCCATATACAATTATCTAATGTACAATTATTCACATTTTGAAATGGCAGTGAACATGCAGTGTCTTCCTTTTAACAGTGGGGACTACATCCTTTGACTGGAGGTCTGAATGCAATTGATATTTAACTCTGCTAATTATCATGATTATATAATTCTCTGTGTATGAGTGAAATATCATATGAATAAATTCAATTGCTCATTGTTTACAGCATTTGACATGTTGATATAATAAATGAAAAAAAGATTAATTTTACTTTGTTTCCTGTTATGCCTTTGTTACATTTACAGTGAAACTTGTCTAATCCGGATGTTGTATAATCCAAAATCTTGCCTAATGCAATGTAAAATTTAAGTCCTTTTCAGTAAATTCATTTGTTTAAAATGTTGTCTAATCCGTAATGTTGTCTAATCCGGCCAAATTCTTTAGAAGCAGTGGTGTCCGGATTAGACAAGTTTTACTGTATAATTAATACAAGTGCTGGGATGGATCTGGGATTTAGGGGATATTATTAGATTCATGTGGTGAGGTACATCCTCAGGGGTAAAAGACGGTGTCCAGTGGGGGCTTTGGGTAAAGCCCATGTAAGCTCATGAGAATTGGCAATTAAAGAACCTTATTTTAACGTTCAATTGACTGTTATAATTTTACCTTTGTTACATTGAGGCATAATAGTGAAAACTACATCTCCGCACATACATGTAATCTGCTCTGTTTATTTTCATCCACAGTTCAGAAAAATGTTTTATAGTTAAATGCGTTCAAACATTTCTTGCACTCAAAGCACTAGCTGCTCTAATCTATAGTGTTAATTAATGTTGGAAGTCCTATCATTAAAATAACAATGTCTTATGGACTCGGTTTATTGACAGAATATGCTCAGTTTGCAGGCAATGTTGTGAAATAAATGGTCAGAATATTCTAATCTATGCATATAGAGTTGAACTTCTGTATCTTGAACATCGATATCTTGAATACCAAGGATATGCTGAAGTGACTTGGAAGTCCCAACCACTCAGTCTCTAAGTATTTTACCCTTGATATATTTCGAATCCTCCAACATCTCGATTTTTTTTTCTTGGTCCCATCAAGATCAAGGTAACAAGGTTTGACTGTATTTTGAACAATTCAGAGATTTCCAATGAAATATCAACAAACTCAACATGGTGGGTAAATTTGATCACTGTGAAGCAAGCAAAAAATGTTCAGATAATTAATATACTAATTTTTGTATGGAAGGCATATGTATAAGCTCATTAAGGTTTGTAACAGTTGTGATCAATTTGGTGGTTATTTTCACTGCAAATTTGTTTGTATACGGATCTGCCAAAAGGGCACAATATAAGTACATGTAGATCAAATATGTTCTGCTACACTAAAAATATATGGATCCTCTAGCTATCCCAACTGTGGACATGCAGGCCCTCACCACAGTAAGAATGCCTCCCATTCACCTGCAAAAATATACTTTAGCAGACAATGCAGAATAGCTCCGAAATGATTTTGGAAAATACAATTAAGTTGCACTGAAAATAGCCACTATGCAACAGTTTTCTAATCATAAACAAACCTTTCAGAGACTGAAGATACCTTTTACCCCCCCAAATTATTCCAAATACAATGGCAGAAATTCAATAAATTTTCTCAACATTTTTTCACTAGCTTCAAATTTACACACCATGCTGACATTTGGAATTCTCTCTCAAGACTGAATTGTTCTTAGTATATGCATTGATTAGAGTTATTACCCCTGTTTATTTTGCTACATTGCCAATACACAGGCACATTTGATTATTAAACATGGTCCATATGACATTATACATTTATTGACTGGGTTCGAGGGCAACATGTGTTTTGTCGGACCCAAGAACCAAACTGTTTGCCTGAGGCCGTTAGGCCGAAGGCAAACAGTTTGATTCGAGGGGTCAACAAATTGCCCGAGAACACAGTCAACAAATGTTTTGTTATACCTTTAACTTTTTATTTTGACATAACATGATGTAAATTTTGTTTACCCGCACTGCGGTTTAAACTTGGTCAATTCCGTAAAGTTCTGTTGAACTCCAACGAATGCAAATAAGATAGAGCTGACCCCGCCCACACTGTGACGTAAACGGTCCAACATCTCATCGACAGGTCCAATATCTCGCTCTGCGGTCAAACATCGATTTTTTTATGACCGCTCAGTAAAACATTGGAATTGTTAGACTTTTTTAAGGATAGACATAGGAAACAAATTTTAAAGGTATAAAAATATACATTTATTGACTGGGTTTCGAGGGCAACTGTGTTTTGCCGGAGCCTGAAGAACCAAATTGGTTGCCTGAGGCCGTTTAACGGAGGCCTCAGGCAACCAGTTTGGTTCGAGGGGTTGACAAAACGCATTTTGCCCTAGAATACAGTCAATAAATGTTTTGTTATAACTTTTCTTTATTTATTTTATCATTATTATTTTTTTTTGACATACATGCATGTCTTACACCAACGAATGCAAAAGAGATTTAACTGACACCGCCCATTATGTGATGTAAGCGGTCAAACACCTCATCACAGGTCCAATATCTCACTCCGTGGTCAATCATCGATTTTTTTTGCCCGTGACTCAGTAAAACATTAGAAATGTTAGACTTTTTTAGTTTTGATTTATATTGGAACAAATTTTTAAAGTTATAGCAATACCACTTTAAAGATAGAACATTCCGAGACTCTCTAGACTAGGTTAATTTCAAGCCCTTAATATTCTTGTCAGAGGTTAATATTGCTTTAATTTTTTTTCGGGAACAATAACATTCTAAAGCTCAACCATTATGCTCAAGCCTACCAAGTTACTATTGAACATGTCAAATAAATTTTTATCTGTACCCCTAGATCTGATCAAAACTTCTTGTCAATGAAATGATTTACGTTTTCAAATGAGAGCTGATAAATGCTCATTATTATTCAAGGTTTACATACGACACTGTAGGCGAGTGCATTAATATGTGCATTTCAATATATAGTTGTATCAGCTCACAGGCACTCCCCAGCTTAATTGTTAAAAATATATATATCTAAAAGGCCTATACTATAAACGTAATATTATGTTTACACTTTTTATGGTATTAATAGTAGATATATATTTTTTTAACAATTAAGCTGGGGAGTGCCTACGGTATCAGCTGTGTATATATATATTGATTTATGACACTTCCTTATTTATTACAAAGGGTATTTCCTAAAAATGATTGATATCGACTTTCAAGGAAAACAGGAAATGTATTTTTTGTCAACATGTGAAGAGATATTGATCAATGATAAGAGAGAAAACTGAAATTAATTGAACAGTTGAAACAGAAATTACAAGTAACAAATTAACACACTAGTAATTTCACAATGGTTTAAAACTTGACAAGACACAGTCTACACATTTGGTTGACTTCGGATTATATGTTAAATTTTCACAAAGTGTCATTAAATATAACGTCAAACTAAAAGTCGCAATATCCTATATATAACAAGATACAACAGATTGTAGCCCGTCACAGAATATGACATTTTCCATATGGGCTATATATGGACGCTCTAAAACTTTTCAGAAACTGACAGTGTGCAGAAATATATAAAACCCTTCACAATAACAAAATCCAGTGCAAAATCTTACCAGTTTGTAGAACGTTAGTTGTTACACTCAAACGTAAATTACTCTGTTTCTATTTATGGAAATGGCATACAACACCAAGCGGAAGTGTAAACACCTAAGAACTGAGTTCAACTTTTAATATTAACTGCCATAAACAGGGACTTCAAAGAAATATCGATAGGTACAATATATTTATAGTCCTTACTACATAAAATAAAATGATGCTTCAAAATAATAATAATTTTAATTATCACCACCAAAGCGCAGTAATCTGACGTTTTCCGAACCCGATGTATAATAATCATTGAAAGGGGCAAGGGCTGCATAGCTCACATTCATTCAATTTGAATTGGACTTACCAACTTAAATGTTTAACGAGTTTCCACAACTCTAATTGAGTAATCCCATTTAGTTATATTATATATCCATCATCATTCAATTTTTAATCAAAGTACATGTAGCAAAGTACATTAATGTCCTTCCCTTAACAAACTGTTGTTTGCTAGCAGACCTGCAGGAAGTCTGTTGCAAGTTTGCAACAAACAAAATTGTTCACAGGAGGAAAATTAATTGCTGGCATCGAGGCCAATTTCAATATCCAATACCCCAGGATAATAAACCTAAATTAATAAAAAGACCTATGTTGTGGAGAGAAAAGTGAAATTATAGTTGAATTGCTGTTAATCTTATACCGCACTGACAGCGGCTGATACATATACATTCGATGAAACATCTTTGACACACACACACACTTGAAATCTTTAGTATATGAAACTTTGTCTGGGCTTTTTTATGGAGTGGCATTTGTTCAAGTTTCATTTTGTGACATTAAAATCCACCACTTCTAATCCTCTTATAGCTAGTGTACATTATATATCCAGGTTATCTCTAAAAACTGAGGCCAATGCACCAAGTCTGTGAATTGAGTATCATCAGACATTTTAAAATAATGCAAGTAGAAATAATTTCACAAGCATATAAATAATTTAATGCAATTACTTTATTTGCAATGAATGTGACCACAAACTGTAGCAATTTGCAATGAAAAAAAATTCAAGACAATACTGGTAACATTCAACCCTTCAAGAAAATTTGCAAATGGTTAATATATTTTGGGATTCATTTATCCAATTATAAAGATATAAAATTTCTATCAACATTTGATTTCTTACCAAATAAAACTGAATATAGTCCAAGTATGAACAGAAAACAAGAATCAAGTAAACTGTCTAATTCTAAAGCTTCAATTAAAAAAGATCAATTTTTAAACCAATGTTTCGTATAGTTGTCCAAATAATAAGGTGAAAATTATGCATGTTGGTTTTTCTATACATAATGAAGAGCAGAAAGCAACAACATCCACAACACAGGTTGGTATATAACCACTTGGTAAACCTTTTTTTGTTTTCTAGTTCTTGAAATTTCAAAGTACAAAAAAATGATGATAACTTAGTGTTTTACTATGTAATCTTTTTTAAAAAATTTGAATACATGCTTTGTTTTAAACATGTTAACTACCTTTCATAAATAATAGATATACTAGTTAATCAAACAGAGGAAAAATAAGGTTGCCAAGATTTCCACTGCCAATGTACATTTACATGTAGAATATTGCTACATGGTCATTGATCCCCATCCCCCCAAGACTTTTTAGGTAAAGTCAATTTAAAACTGAATACAAAAAGTAGACCAAATGAAATGGAACCAAATTTCATTTAATCATACCTAATCATCCTTACATTACCCTTTTATGAATTTCTTCTACAAAGTCAAAAGTTCAATAATAATGCAAATTAAAGAAACTGTCTATCAATATGGTAACTCACAATACAAAGAAAAAATAACATAACTACACAAATAACAAAGCTATTATGAAAAATCTTAAATTAACATCACCGATGCTATTCCAATGGAAAAAACAAAAACAAAGAAAGATACGTAGGTTTTTTCAAAAATATTATATTTTTCAAAGGTTCATCAATGACATTTTAATCACGCCTTTCACGTTCTCCACGCAGTTTCAAGAGGCGCATGAAGAGAGCTACCATATCCAGGTAGAGAATTGCTGGGGCGATGATGTATTCATCTGGGGTGAGTCGCTCCATGATCAGACCGGTGTCGTAGATGATGTACATGCAATATAAAACGGCAAGACCCACAGAAATCAGGCGATCCATGGCCGCAGTGGGAAAGAAAAGCTGAAAATGCAAAAAAAGAACAAAATTGTTTTATAAGTAAGCCATATCCTATTTTCTAGAGATATTTTCTTAAGAAAATCTAGTTTTTTAATGGTAATGAAAATGGTTATATTACAACCCTAGCATATTTCTCTTTTTGGAAAAATTGTCACAAAAATGCTCTCTTCTTAGTAAATTTACCTGCATAAACAGTGCTGACATCAGAATACCAAAAAGAGAGAACATCCTGCAAAAAACAGGTTAAAATAAAACATCGTGGAAAAAATAAACAATTATGTAAATCATAAATAAATATTAAGTGTATTACAGGGACATGATAATAAAGCCTGCCTTTCCATCGGAACATTTTATACAAGAAGTTGATAATCTAAAATTAGTCTACACTAGATAATTTAATATTCCATTTTTAAAATGGGAATTGGAAAAGCCTCTTTGATTATAAGACATTCTCAATGCACTCCTTCATGAAATTCTTACAAAATCTTCCTTAATATACAAACATTTCTAAGTTTAAATCTTTAATTACACATTTCTCTGATGTTTGAAAACAATAATTGCAAAATTCTCATATACATGTATCTAGTACTTACCCGGCACCAAATCTGTCAAAGTCCATCTTGCTTTGGAATGTGTATGCTGTAAGGCAGACGGTTACCAGCATTGTCAGAAGGAAGGCATCTATTACACTTGCCACCTGATAAAAGGTCACTGAAACACCCAAAAATCTTTCATAAGAATCAATGATTTTTTTTTCTCTATGCTAGGCAATCAATCCTACTTATCTACATCTACAACAAATCTAAACTAAATTCAACAAATTTGTCCTGAACCTGAGATACTTTAATACAAGAAGTTAAAATTTTAAATGTTCAAAACTAGAGAAACAACAATCTTCAATGATAAACTTACCAACAGTTCCGACCATACAGGCTTCAACTCCTGTCTAAAATTAAAAAAAAAAAAAGACTTATTTACCTCAACATTTATTTTTCCTGGTTTTTCTGAAATTTGAACTTTGAATAAGTCATAAATCATGTAATTTAAAAAGAAAATAATAAAATCACATTCAGTATCATTTAGAGAATATTTGTCAATGATCTTCTGATAACATTTGATTTAATAGCCTGTAATATATTTTTTCACATCTTTTATGACCAATACTATCATATTCTTAAAATCACTTACGAATGCTGCCAGAAGCATGTAATTTGTTGGGGTTTCATTCTTGTAGGCCTGGAGGGCAACAGCTAGTGCCAGACTGCTGATTAATCCCCCAAACACCAACCAGTGACTACAAAGACAAGAAGAATCCTTAATATAACCAGCATGCAGGTACAGCTGTACTATGTACACTGATATGGCAATAAGAGTCCTCAGAGTTCAATATTTTAAGTAGAAGCAGTACAAGTTGTCCTTACTTGGTTTGCACTATGTATGTAATGGCAGTGCTCCATTTGAAGACTGCTGCGGTGATGAACGTGAAGAGAAGCTGGACTGACAGAATTCCGTAAACTTTCCTGAGAAAGTCTGTGTAATATTAAATCATTTATCAGAAACTGGTTATAACAGTTGTAACAATAAACAGGATCATGATGATGCAAATACAGCAACTTAGGAAACAGGAAGTTGATGATATGCGAGGGCAGAGAATTATCATTTCAATCTTGATAACAAAGAAGTGGATAGATTTGTTTAAAAAGATAACATTTTATCTAGCTCACATGTATTGATAATTTTGTATCATGTTTTGAATAAGGAAGATCTCTCATATTTGGTTAACAAAACTGAGAGAATGATTTTTTTTTGTATTGATTATGTCTAACATTAAAGCATTGATCATGTTGATCTATATCCATATTTATCAACATATTTATCAATTGTAACAGTAGCAAATGTATAGAATATCATTAGAGTCTTATGCTACAATATTAATTCAAAGTATGTATAGACCTTCATCACCAATTTATGCACTCAGTTTTATTAAACAAGTGATTAATCACTGCTGCTAAGAATTATAACAAAATCCAGTAGCCATGGTAATATTTACCCAATCTTTTGTCAATACGAGCTTTAGCCACACTGTAGCTGTGCTTCACTTCATTTCCAAACACATTGAAAAAGCTATCCATGGTAATGAACCTATTAAAGCAAAATATCAAGTATGAATGAAGGGTACAAATATGCACTAAAAAAACCATCTTTAAAAGTCTGGATATTTCTCTCTCTCTTCTTTTTTTTCTTTGTTGCTGCATCATCACCATTGGTCATTGCACCCTATAGCATCTAAGGCAGCAACAGTGGTTACTGCATCATATAGATGCCATTAATATTTCATCATGTTCATCAGTCAGGGGTGAGACTGAAATCCGTCATTTTTAAAATGACGATTTTAAGCCATAAAATAAAATTTTTATTATGACTTAAACTCGTCATTTTTAAGAAAATGACGAAAAACAGTCATAAAAATTTAGAGTGTTTCTAGAATAGCGAGTTACCTCTCTTTGAAAAATGTTAGATCCACCAACCGAAAAAAGGACAAAAAACATCGTAAACGAACTTCATTTCTCTAATACAGTTGACTACAATACTGGTTATGTTGACAGTATAAATTTCCCAAGCAAAGATAAGAGTGGAAGAGTTATTTGTCAATTTATTTGCATTAAATAGGAAAGAAGACAAAAATGACGATATTCCGTCTTTTTTTCAAAATGGAGGGTCTGGGCGCACTGAAATATCTCGCTTGTTTTACGGGGCGCACTACTTTTTTATGGCTTTAACTTTTTGTCGAGACTTTTCTCTACAAGTACGTATTCTTCCAGACGGTGTACTATATGTTTTTATATGGCTAAAAGCCATGTAAAAATGGCGAATTAGTTCTACCAAAATTCGACATTTTACCGCTAAATAATAACTTTCACCTTCCATGTTGATGTTCTAACGCACATGGTCGGCAGAAATTAGTGACCCGGATGAAATGAAACTTGCGTAAACACTCTTCTTTCAGCGGTGAATTCAAATTTCGCTTTTATGTAACCAGGATAGAAGAATTAAGTTGAAAAAGAAAATATGACGATAGTAAGTCATATTGACAAAAATGACGAAAATACGTATTTAGTAAATATGACGATTATCCATCATTTTTCAAAAATGACGGATTTCAGTCTCACCCCTGACTGTTCATTCTACCGCGATCATTTTAACCTAGTTTTTACCAATTCTCAAATTCATCCCAGAATTCACAATAATTATTATAGTAAAACGGCAAAGAAAAAATCTGAACAGATTGAAGCATTTATGATGAGATATAATCATGATGAAAGTATTTTACGTTCTTCCATAAAGAATTTTCTAGAACACTTAATTGTTTGTCAAAATGAAACCAATACTTTACGCTTCAAATTTTATATTGAAGGTAATTTGTAGATTAATCGTTTACAACACTTTGTACATTAAAAGCTCTTTACTGTCAAGATTTAAAAAAAAAAAGAAAAACAACAAACAAACGAAAATAGATGACGTTTATTTTTCTACCGAAAGTTGACACTGGGCATGCTGGGAATAATATATATCTGTCATCTGGGCATGACAGAATGCACATACTAACGGGCCTTATAAAATGCGCATACAAAATAATTAAGAACAATGGGATTCACAAAAGAAAATAATCTTTCAAGCAAACATTTGAAATACCTGTAATTTGTGTCTTTTTCTCCAAAAATCCTTGACACTGCGTACTAATAATGGTAAGAATATTATGTATTTCAATCCCGACGCATATTGAGTGTTAAATCCGACGTGGCGTTTGGTCATTAGGCGGGCGGATTCGATGGGGAAGGGGATTTTAAATTACTTTTAAAGATGAACATGTATTCCAGTCTCCTTCCCAATAAGTGGACCATTGCAGACTTCAGGCTTTCAACAACAATACCCCCACCCCAAAAATTTAATTTACATAGAAGGCATATAACACGAGATGTCTTCTTTTTTATGTAACAAATATTTTGATGATATAACATTCGTTTCCTTCTCTGGTTTTCATATCGAAGAAATCTAAATAACTTAATTTAAACTTTACTGGTGTAAAACAGATACATGTACGGCAGAAAATTAAATTGGTGCCATTTCTGTTAATTTTGTAAGTAGTGTATGTTAAATTGCATACAGTTTATAAATAAGAAGTAATTAAAGGTCATAATTATTTTGAACTGTATATTACAGTTCATTCGTGTTTCCCTTTCAATTTTCAGTTTCTTGAAGTTGTTAATGATAAAATAATGATAATGATTTTTTCGACCGAGTTGATACTTTGCATCAGTCTTAATTGGTTATATTTACGTGTAACATTCATCCTTGAAATCTTTTCTATTGCTCCTATATACAGCTGAAAATTGAAAAGACGGAGATGGAGGCTAGAGGTGGTTGCAGCTTGCAAAAACAAGCCATATTACCTCGAGTTCTATGTACAAGAAATTCTGAAAGACTCGTCATCACCATAGTGACGTCATAATAATTCCTTCACAGGAGGTGAACAGACTTTTCTGAATATTCTCGGTGAAAAAACAAAACTATATTACAAATGTCTCGAAGGGTAAATCCGGGGATTACCATGAACATTGACTATGACCTTGTAAGTACATGTATTTGTGAAAAATGTTTATATGATAAGTACATTTAAAACATTTATATGACTAGTCTATGAGTATAATATCGTCTTGTACGAGTTTCCTACCCTTTTCATATTTTTCTGATCTCCAATTTTTTGCCTCTCTACTCATAATTATATTTTTCGATTTTCCCAGTATATGTATTATGATGCCTATTTTTTTTTAAATGCTAAAAAAAAAAAGAAAGGAAAAAGTTTGAAGTTTTAATTTAACGCAAGTAAACAACGTAGGAAGATGGGATTATTTTGTCTAACTTAATCAATGTCATATCAGAGCTATCAGAGCAGTGATTTCTTTCATATGTTCCCCCAGAGAGTCTTTCTAAATACAATCTAAGCAAAAGCTGATGTAGTTTCATGCTCCCTATTATATATCGTGAGAGGCCTTAAATAGTAAATTCGTAATGGTCCTAGAGTCGTGCCCCTTTTATTTTCCTATTGTATCTCGCAAGATTGTGTCCGCTGCTGCACATACACTGTTAATAAAATTAATTTGGATTGCTTTTGTCATAAATTTGCAATTGCAGACGATAATAAAAAAGCTTAAAAATATATAGTATAAAACAAAATTTAACCTCACTTAGCATTTATAAATCTTCTATTACCAATACCGCATATGTTTGATAAGAAAAATCGCTGGTCGGAAGAATTTGGTTTGGACGACTTGCCTGTTAATTTTTTTCTTCGTAGAGCTACAGTTCTGCAGCTGTAAGGACCCCCCCCCCAAACCAAAAAAAAAAAAAAAATCCTGCGATCTTGCGATCTGAAGTACGTTTTTTTCTGTTCTCTAGGCGGGGCTTGATGTTACTTATGATGTCCCGAAGTGGGAATATACGAGAGAGGAGATTGATCAGGTAATTTCTGTTCCGAAAATTCCTGTTTATACTAGGGATAGTAAGGATTTACCGGTTAACTAACTTAACTGTCAGGACTAATCTGTCGGGAAGATCGTAATTTTACCGTTACAATTTTCATAACCGATTAGTCGACAGGTTTTGCAGTATACAATGTACAATAAAAATATTTCCACCTTTTAAAATTAATACTCGAAGTCGAAGTAGCATGTTTAAAACTGATACGCGACCCGTTCAAAACATTTCCCACAATTATTATACATGTAAGCCAGTGAATACTACAATCAAAGTTTATCTACACGTACCCTGTATGAAAAATTCTGTCGGCTTTAATTTGTTTCAATTATTACATAAAAACAACAGCTGTTTTTCTCTACTCATCGATCGATGTTTAATTGGGTAAATGTTCTTGTTTAGTAAATCACTGCAAAAATTAGTTAACTTTGTAATTTATTTAGCGAAATGCCTTAGAAATGGTGATATTTGAAGAGAAACCGAGACAGCAAATTTTAAAAACACGAGTACATAAAACTAAAACCAAACAATTAAGAAAAGCTAAAAGAAAAGAATATGAAGCGCTTATTTTATATATTAATATACTAGTTTACTGTGTGTTTAAAACTGTTATAGAATAGTGAACTAATGTATTTATGCCTGAGATCATGCAGAACCCCCCCCCCCCCTTTTCAGTGGTGACATGATAATAGTGCAAAATTTCATCAGTTTAGTATCTTGTGATTCCCGGAACATCTACATATATGCCACCAGAGCGATTTCTTATTAATAAGTTTTGAAGTTGCCCGTAGGAGGCATGCAATGGGGGGATGCATTTTCAGTTGGGGAGGGGGGGGGCTATCAACTACCAAAAATCCCTTCACAAGGGGGACATAGGTCGTCAGACGTTATTATTGAGGGGGCACGAGCATATGGTAGTTATGTTTTATATAGTATTCTATTTATCATCAAAATTCTACTGCCATTTATCTTCGGAGGTCAATGAATCATTTTTTTAAAAAGTAAGAATAGCAGTGGGTCCCGGAGAAGAGAAATTGATGTTAATGTCGATGAAAATATGGCTTGGCTCCGTTTGCAATAAAAAGCGAAATAAACTTTCATACATGTATTTGTATCTTTTTTTTCCCCTGATTTTTTATGGTAAGGAATTCTCATAATCCTTGTTAGAAATAAGTTGAATAATTCATAAGAAATTTATCCGTTCGGTTAACCGGTTACTCGGTCTGAAAAACTTGCGACTAACCGGTTACAAAATAGTCCCCAGTTTCAGGAATAAAGATGATTTACATTTCAAACATGATTTTTAATGCATATGTAACAATATTATAATTTTTTCCAGTACTTTAATAGCTCAAGAAGAGAATGGGTCTCCAGGGAAGCCTTTATAATGGGTTATGAAGCTCGCACGGTAATGTCTATTTCTTATAGTCACAAACGTTTCATACAATCCAAGCAGTTATCATAAAATTCTAGCTGATTTCTATTAAAAACATAATATCTATCTGTAATCACGAAATAAAAAATCATGGTCACGAAAGAAAAAAAAAATGAGGATGCGAAATTCAATTCCTTGCCACGAAAATAAATACGTTTCCACAAAATAAAAAAAAAATACGTGACCACGAATTATGATAGTGAATATATTTTAATATGGAACGGGTTGTTCAAATTGATTATATGACACCAATCTCAGCTGGTTTCTAATATTTGTGTATATTGTTTTCCAGAATGAGGATGAACCAATTACTAAGGCCTACTTTCGCAATATATACATTGGAGACTCGGTATGGGCTTTATATTATTATTATATATAATTTAAGTTTACTTAGTAATTTCTTTGGATCAACTATACTCCAAGTAAATTTTCAACATTGAATATGGTGATACATAGAAAATATTCAATATGAAATTTTTCTTCACGAATGGTAGAAAACTGGACTTTTTGAAAGTTTTCCAGAGTACAAAGCACGAGTAAAAATATCAAAAATTACAGTCTCATGAATAGTGAGTGAAAGAAATTCCATATTTACAACTATAAAAGCGTTCATTTAATTTTCTGTTTATAACATTTTTCTTCGGTTTTTGCTTTTGCCTCTATCTGTCTTTTCGGAAGAAACGTACTAGCATAAGATGCTACAATGTATCATGTTGTAAAATATTGAATTTACTATATGGAGTAAATACAAAATTTACAACACGATAACTAGAGGTAAATTCAAAATTTACAAATGACAGCTGAGCAGCTATGAGATTCTGTATGAGCAATTTTAAGATTGGAAATTGTAAACGTGTAATATTTGAACAAAAATTTTGAGAAATTTTGGTATCAGGTGTCACATGTACATTGTAAATACATGTAGCGATAGTGAAAAAAGCCTTTCTGACACAAAATAAAACTCTCAAAGTCTACAGACACAACCACTATGGGCAAAAGGAAAACCAAAGATCATGTAGTAAACAGGAAATTCAATTCTTCGTAGACGGGTATGGAATTATTTCACTCGTGAAACAAGTTTTTTTTTAAAAAATATATTTTCACAAATATTAAAAGATTCTATCCCACTTGTGATCTATAAATTCCATTACCATAAAAATACTGAATAGTTATGTAATTGCATCTTTAAAGACTCAAATAAAAGGAACAAGCTTATTTATACTTGTTTTGTGGGGTCAATGTAAATTAAACTATGTTACAGGATAAACATAATACATGTACAAGGAAACTGTCTGTCTTGACATATAAGCAATATTTATAGGCAATTACTAAGTTAGTGCAAGCCTTGCTCTCTTTAACATTTTCTTCGCCTCGCACCTCGCCCCAATATCGCTTATTTTCCAAGACAGTAACCGTGTAGTTTATATTTATTATAATATGTAAAAAATATATTTTTACAGAAGACTCTCAGTGATAGAATTGATAGTGACGTCACCCTTGGTCTGGCTGTGAAAAACAAGGTAACACATAAATAAATGACCATGGTTTCCCTGGCATGTGTTTTTATATATTTCTCAAGAATCACCTATAATTCATTTTAATAGGAACATGATTCGCTTTTTAAACTGTGAATTGCAAAAGTGTCTCTGGTAGTTGTATATCATAGTGTATGTGTCCCCATGAGCAGCGTAAAAAAATGCGCGGATTATGGTACATACAGTTTACATGTATTAGATTTAAAGTGACACCGTGACGGAAAAACGCGAAAATCGACAAAAGTAGAATTTATGCATAATACATGCAAATTTTATTTAGTTTTTGAAGGTATTAGGTTTCAGAAAATTACAGGTTTCAGAACCTAAAAGTAAAAAAAAATCTTTGTATAACCCAACACAAAAATATTACTTCACTTCTTCCTCTTTCTTGTACGCATGCGCTGAAAAGTTGAAGAATTTACCATGGTTTCAATTCCATAGATATAAATGTCGGATGACCGAGAATTTTTATACAATCTTCAAAAAAGATGATCAGAACTTATTTCTCACTTCTGCTTGCTCCAGTTTAATGTTGTTTATAAGTTTCACGCTAAAAATGAAGGACGCATGACCTTGACATTGTGGACATTGACGATAAAACCAAAGCGATAGGTACAACATTTGTTTTCCAGGCACTTACATTTTGCTGCTTTTTCTTGCATTACAGTGCAGTTGAGTTGCCAAAACTTCGCTATATTCATATTCCACATAAATCTTTTGTTTTGTGATACAACTTTCATAAAAGAAACACATGATTTTGACTCATTATGTACCTTAACTATTCCATGTGATTGTTTAAAGTGAACTCTTGACAATGTGACAATTAAAGGTAAGCTTTTTATTCATTTACATGAACATTACGTATTTAACGAATCAAGCATAGGAGAGGTCTGGACTTCTCGAAGTTTCAACACTTTTAGATTAATATACTGAACTTTTCACTTTTATCCTCCCACTTTCGCTAGAATCAGGGGATGTTAATTTGGGCCTGTCCGTAATTCTGTTTGTCCACACCATTCTACATGAAGTCTCTTAAAGTACTTAATAAAAGTTTTGCAACGAAATTTTTTAAACCAACTTAGATAAAACCCTCACTGTTATTGATGCCGAAATGTAACATGTTGAGGAGTCCGTACCTGGTTGAATCCAGGATCTCGGGTTTTAATTGATATTAATATTGACTTAAAATGATTGGATGAAATGATTGGACTGCAAATATATACAAATATGGCCCTTTCCTTATTTAGGGGGGGGGGGGGGAATCACACTTAAAGGTCGGCCTTATATTTACAAAAGAAAGTGGGGGGGGGGGGTCACAAATGCCACCGGACATACACCCATTATGCCTCATTCAGGCTCTTAGTGTCAGTCACGATGCCAAGTCCTAACTTACTACTAATGGTCAGCCTCTGACAACAGAGGATATACTGAGTTGTCCTTATTCAGGACGAACAGTCATCCACTGCTACCAGAGACTTACACTGTGTCCAGGAAGGTTACCAGGCAAGCCTCTGAGAGGTTGTCCTCTCTCTCTATGGTCGGCCTCTAAGTGGTTAGTCATGATTCTTTACAGTAATAGCACAATACTACCAATTTATTATGGCAAGCCTTCACCGTCAGACATTCCACCTAGTATTGCTACAATAATTGTGGTAAGCCTTAATATTAGACCACCCACCCAACTACATGTAACCTTAGCTTCTGAATATCCGTCTCCTTCTCTCTGCTGTCTGGAGTTAAAGAACCCCGCAGCTTAGCTGCGCTCGCTTATCTACCTTTGTTTTAGGTCACGTGATTTGCTACAGCCACTAACAGATCCTCAAAGGCCGACTTGCATATTCGGAATACACAAAGCTATACGCATCGTTAGTTCGTTACAGATAAAAAGGTCAAAGGCCAAGATCAAAAAGACCTTTATTGCACAAATTATGGTTTCCTGATGATAACAAATTCTATTTAAGATTTTGCAAACAAAATCAAAGTGATGGTGTGACATGCCCAAGGAAAGCCCCCTGTTGAATTTGAGACCAAGGTGAAAAGCGAGGTAACACATTCTGATATGACATGAACTGATTTCAAGATTCCGTCTGTTCATGCTTCCAATTTTGTTCTGACCAGTGCTTTGTAACGGAGAAACAATTGCCCATACTTGGCATGAACAAAGTTGTTTATAGCTGGAAGGTGTGTTATGATCTTGTTCTTTGGTCATTTATGCAAATTCAAAGAGAGCTGATAGAAAAACTTTATAATGGATAAGCATTAGAAGTTCATAGTTTACTCTAAGATTACTTATGATCTGGTTATTTGTGTAAATCTATAATTCGTGTCAGACCCGATCCATTACTTTCTAATAGAAATTCATTGGAAGACCAAGCATGACTTTAGGGTATGTCATGACATTGAGCCAAAGTCATTTAGGAAAATTCACGGTCGTTGTCATAAAAATATACCGGTAAACTTTTCATCAAGACAATATTTAGGTAAATTTGTAAGATATTAATTATAAAATGTATCAGTATGAATTGAATTTGAATCTTTATGCTTCTTGTCACAATAAAACTGTTATTTGAATTCTGATTTTCTTTGTCATATTAATTTTATGTTTGCGTATTTCTTTTGTTTTGTTACTTGTATGTATGCTTGTTTGTTTGTAAGAGAGGTGATTGATCATTTTACTTCAATAAAACTTTGATTGTTGCATATTATATGTAATTTTTCCTAATTTTGTAATACTCAGAAAATGAGAAAAATCAAAAATTATTTTCGACGTACTATTTTTTATAGATGTCAGGTTGCACAACATTAACTGGCAAGATTGGCAACATTTTCATCTGTTAATAATCAAAACATTTGACTTTAGATGATAAGTTTTTCATAGTTACATTATTATATGTACACTAGCTAAATTATATAAAAATAACAAGAGAACTTAAGGTTCATCGATACTCTGATAAGATAGATGACTCTTACTGGGATATATGTCTATTTTTTCTTTTATAAAAAATTATCATCATGTAAAAATTTTGCTCAACAAAATGAAATTGTTTTTATTCTAATTATAAACACATATTTTCATAAAATCATATATAAGCGTTTAAGCAAAATTTTATATGAGTGGGGAGAATGATGATGAACTTTAATTCATTCAAATTTCAAGAAATTGTCTTACTGTAGTAATACATATTTCTATTATTTAGGCTAGCAGCATGATAAGACAGAGCTTATTAGAAGCATTCGCGGGAGCTTCAGATTTTGAAATCGCCCGACAAAAGGTAACACAGTCATTGTTGATTATAAGGTTTAACTATGTGGTTTTATGCTATTTAGCTATCTCAGAACTCTGCATACTGTAAATCTCATTTTATTCGCCGGAACTTTATTTTCTTGTCTTGTAATTACGCTAGACAGTGAACTCGCGAAATTATCATTCGCGTATATTAGTATTCCTAAAGATAATATAGAGCAATAACTACAATTCGTGAAAAAAAGAGTACATAGAGTACATGTTTATCTCGCAAAAATAAGGTGTCGCGAAAATTTAGTGATTTATACTATTTACATATTGATCATTATCTTATTTTCCAGCCTAATACCTTCCGAAGACTTCTACATACATGCTTTACTTGCCTGGGCCGTCATCGATAAGACAGAGCTTATTAGAAGCATTGATTTTAAAATTACAACACAAAAGGTAACACATTCCTTTGTTAATGTGTTATGTGGTTTTATGCTATATATACTGAAACGCAAAAAGAAACGCAACATCCTAATTTTAGGGGGGAAATTATATACAGGTTATAACTTTGTACTTAAAAAGTTAGGACATCTTCAACTTTGCCAAATCAGTAATTTAACGGTTGAATGATTTTCATTCGATTTTGAGCCCTCTTAACAGAAATCAAAAATTGCATGTTTAATAATTAAGAGTTATGGATTACTTTCTAAGGTTTAAAAATAACATTCAAAGTTTGAATCAAATATCTGATGTTTGTAAATTTACTTTTTACCTTACTGTATTCATTTTTGAATGTTATCTTTAAACCTTAGAAAGTAACATAACTCTTAAAACACCCCCTTCCGACCATTCAATTAAGCGTGCTAGTCCGCCATGTACAACAATTGCAGCTCGATTTCTACGACGCATTAGGTTTATCAATCTCTTGATCTGAGAGAAAGAAATATTTTTACATTTTTAAAAGCCTGTTTTTCAGATACTGAGGTCGAATTTTCTCTTTAGAACGTGGCGTAGTGTAGTAACCCTGGGACTTCCGGTCGTGTCATTCATGCTTTTGAAACGCATGAGCCTGATGAGTCGTTACGTAGTGCAAATTTGCATCTGCAACTCTCCTTTACCTTAATTTTAAGAATTTCCAGCAAGAGCAATGAAAATGCATGTTTTCAGTCATTTTGAGGAAATATTGGAATCACATCGGGAAAAGAAAGAAGAATTTTTTTCTCGGAATATTAGTGAAATATTTATGATTAACAGCTACAAACCCTTAAAAACCCAAATTTTTGTCAAATGTTTTATTAAACATGCAATTTTTGATTTTTGTTAAGAGGGCTCAAAATCAACTTCCGGTAATGGAATGAAAATCATTCAACCGTTATATTACTGATTTGGCAAAGTTGAAGATGTCCTAACTTTTTAAGTACAAAGTTATAACCTGTATATAATTTTCCCCCTAAAATTAGGATGTTGCGTTTCTTTTGCGTTTCAGTATAGCTACATGTGTATCTCAGCACTGTGCATCTTTATATAAAATTATTGGCATTGATTGAAATTTTATTTTCCAGCCAAATTTGTTCCCACGACTTCTACGTACATTTTTGGCTGCAATGGCTGTCATTCATCTCAAAGTTTTAAATAATCAAAAACTGGAGATTTTGAAGGAATGGAGAACAGACGTTTTGGTAGTGGGATGTTTTATAAAGGACTGTGATTTAAAAATACAAACACATCCGGATTATTGATATGTATCCAGCCAAATGAAGAGAATTCCCAGCCCGGATCCTCAAGACTGTGCCCTCCGCTCCATTTGGGCCAAATATGTTCATACAAGATATTAAGTAAATAATATTTGAAAGAAGTTAATAATATAGTGTAATTTTTGTTTAAGTAATAAATATTTTGAGTAAATCTATATCACATAATATTCTTTTAATCGAACATTTGTCTTTTTTGTGATGCAGTAGACTATATATAGAGTCCAGAATCTATATGCCGTTGTTTCGAAGACCGACATTGGATCAATTCAACATGTGTCTGAACTATGTTACGTATTCGAAAAACGGGGCAGGGTTGCAGCATGTTTGTAAATGCATAAGGATATTCTAACTGCAGGCTACCGTTACCGGTCCATTATTAGAGAATACATATCATTACATGTATGATAAAAAGATGATCCCTGTTAACACCACATTTCTTTATTATCAATGCATCATTTTACTAAATAATCTTAATGTTCAATGTGTCACTAAAATTCTACTATGCGTTTCTTTTTTTGAAGAGTATATTAAAATTTATGTTATGTCTCTCCTTGTACCTCAAGAGAGAGAGCTCAGTATCCAGAAGGATGTTTTAGTAATTCAAGACCCAAGCACGGTGGGTGCTCTCTTCTATCAATAATAGACCCCTTAATCTCCCGTCCTGTTCCTCAAATAATGAAACAGTTATCATCTGCTGCTTTTTCCCCATACACCGCCATAATGGTCATCGATTTGGCAGGAACATTCCTGCTTGTTTTCAGTGTCATGTCTACATCTATTTCTGTGAAAAAAAAACATGAAAAAGCGAAATGCAAATCTATACTTTTCATAATAATATTGTTTTGTTTTTAACGAGGCCGAGTCTAATTATTTCTACCTTAGAGATTTTGATATATTTTCTTGAATTAATTTTTACTATTATATTTATTGTTTTAAGATTAAAAAATCGAATGTTTACCGTCCCGTTTTCTGAGGGGAGCCATCTAAGAAGTTTTCAAGTTTTACTATTGGACCATATGGGAATTTGTTGGAAAAGCGCCAAATTATCACATTTTTCCATAATTTTTGTATTTCTGCCCTAGAGATTTCTTTTTCAGCCAAGTACATTAAAGTTATTGTAAAATGTCACCAAATCGTGAAATTTCAAAAAGGTTGATCATCTAGGTTGGTCTAGGAATTATTACAAAGTTTATTTTTTCAATGCCCAATACCTCTAAAATTGCCATATTGCGGTATAAATATATATCGGCGCAGATAAATTATTTTGGTAAAAAATAGCACTGCTTAGATTGCTAGTATGTTTCTTTTGATGTTCTGCCAACAGTTTTTAGTATAATATCCATGGACGTCTTGAACATACAAGCTTTAGTCATGTATTGCTTACAAAATCGGGAAACAGTGACGTCGTTCGAGCCATTTCAGTGTTTTTTTCCTAATTATGTCGTAAAAACACATTTTCAGACCCATAGGAGTTACAGATAATGTTAATTTTGTATTAAAATCACAATATTTGGGAAAGGTGTAATGTCGCAGATATGACTGCATGAAATTAAAAAGCTGCGCAAAGTTGTGCGCACTCGAATTAGACTCGGCCTCGTTAAAACTTTTGAGTAGAAACTATATTTTGATACAAACATCAAAATTTGCAGCTGTCCACCGGCAAGTGGTGGCGTCTCCATATGAGTGAAAAATTCTCGAGAGGGACGTTAAACAATAAACAAACAAACAATTGATACAAACAAAGCTTTGTTAAATTAAATACGGTAGGGGACAAAAAGCTGTAACTTACATGTATCTTACGATATATATATATATATATATATATATATATATATATATATATATATATATATATATATATATATATATATATATATATATATATATATATATATATATATATATACATGTATAATGCTAAACAAACAAAAAAATATACGATATAAAGAACACAATTAGATGAATTCATGAACGATTCACAAGCATATTTCATGAACGATTCACAAGAAGATGTTACCTGGTTCTCAGTCATCCAGAAGGAGAGGAAAAATGTAGCGTTAATTGGGGTTAGATGTAAAAACATTAACTATTTAACTATCATTTAAATTGGTAGTGTATAATAGAAGGGCTACATTTACTTATCTCGAACCGGTCCGTACAAACCGAAGTCCCGTGGCAGAAGGTGCTGGCACAATAAAGATCTTGCTCAGAGGCCTTAAGTGCCGAGCGCATGTGTAAATTTGCAGCCCTCCACCTGCAAGTTGTGGCGTCTAAATATGAGTAAAAAATTCTTGAAAGGGACGTTAAAAAAAAAAACAAACAAAAAATATTATCTCAGTTGTAGGTTAATGCATAATTTATGCGACCACCTCATTGAAGCTTACATTCGTTATGTGATAAACATTATTGTATGTGAATTTTATTAGCAATGGTATACGTTGTTTCCTTTAAATTCAGTAAAGAATGTAAGATTCGAAGAAATTCTAGATTCCATGTTTTGGTCCTATCTGAATTAATTATACTCACTGCCATGTGTGCATTGACTAATTAGAGAAAAACTACAATTATTTCATACAAGGCTTATTATTGCGTAATAATAACTGTCATATCTAAACATAGACATAAACATTTTGCTTGTATTTTAATGTATTCAAATTTTGTAATTTAGGATTCTCTTCTTTATTTATTTATTTTTTCAATTGACTATTTCCATGCATTCATATCGAAGATGCTAGATAGCCACATATGAAGTTAACTTATTCATGTTATTGTATAGTAAAGTTCAGAGAACGTTTAAAAAGTTTTAGCCAAAAGCAAAATGTCATATCACAAAATTCAAATTTTTTGTGATTTTAGAAAGACAATGAATCTAATTTATAATTAATATTAAAAAAAAATAATGGCCAATATAAAGCATGATTGTGTTCAGAACTTCACATAATTTGGATACCACTACCCATCAAGGTTTTCTTATTCTCACATACTCTATACATATACATATGTGTATCATCATGGTAATTCTAGTCATTAATAACTATAGAGAGTAAAAGATAGTTGAATTGTTTCTCTTCAATGCATTTTAAAATTTCTATTTTTATAAGAAAAACCAGGCACTTAAATTGAATTAGAATTTACTATACTGCCCCAGCATTCCACAAGGATTCTCGAGATACTACTTATACTAATGGTACATGTATACATTATACTTTCTACTATTTTTTACCCCTCCCCCTTTTTAGTGTTTATGGAGATCTAGGACTTCCTACGGGGACTTCTTACAGACTAACAGACATACCTTATCTTCAGCCACCTTTATTTAGTAATGGAATGCTCACTCGCACATCTTCCTTTGCTGGGCGATAATTTAAGATCTTACTTTTGAAGAGAGTTTCAATGCACAAATAAAAAAAAAAAATACACTCGTCAGAGGGACAGAACCCAAAGAGGAAGAACATACATAATCAACACATTTGTAATTAACCTTTAATGTAATAGAGCTTTAATGATTTTGGCAAAAGGTTGTTTAATGTTTAATCCTTAATATCCAAATAGGAATTGAAACTCTATAGGTGGTCAAAAGGTCTATGAAGTATCAAAGTTTTATTTTCCATAGTTCGAACGAGAACACATTCTAATGTTGTTCTTATCAATATATATATATATATATATATATATATATATATATATATATATATATATATATATATATATATATATATATATATATATATATATATATATATATATATATATGTTATATTTCGGTAATATCTGATACATGTGTAACACTTTAATTTTTGTAACGTCTGCAGTAAATAGAGAAAATTGAATCAAGTACGGGTAATGCATTGTTCTGTCATATCTAAGATTAGACAGACAGAAATATTTGCTCGCATTATTCAAATTCTGTCATTTAGGATTGCTAGTCTTTATTATTTTCTTTGGGAATTGACGTATCTCATGCATTCATAATGAGAAAGGCCAAACCACAATTGATTTTAATAGATAGCAAAGCTCAGAGAGAAAGTGTAAAATGTTAAAGTCAAAACAAAAACATATTGCACAATTTTATGTAAGAGTAATCACCTAAAAAAAATAAAATTGAAGATATACAACAAATATATTAATGATGTCATCGCTAAGACAGGAAAATACAAGTAAACATATTTTCCATCCCTTTTACAGAATGATTGACTTCATGTTTATATCTGTACTAAATAGCGGCACTGTTTTTAGTGTTTCCCGCCAAGATCTCCCCCCCCCCCGAAAAAAGGGGGAAGAACTATAAATTCTCCCTCAGTGTAGCAACATTCTGGATAAAAAAATCTTTAAAAAATGATTTGTTTAACACGTCTTTTAAAAAAAAAACATACTTAAATCAATATGAAATAAAGAATGAATATAGAGGAGCAGTTGTTTATGGCTTTGATATGAGACTTGCATGTATAATTTGCATTGCTATCACAAATACGTACATGTAATACTAATATGTTGCATTGTTTTTTTTTTTTTTGGGGGGGGGGGGCGGGGGGGGGTACACATGAATTAATAGCTGTAATTTACTGTCTTAAAGTCAATTTTTAAAGTGATGACCAAAATAAAACATTGAAGAAATGATTATAGTTTTTAACGAGCAATAATCATTGAAATTGAGAATATTTTTGTCAGTATGGAAACTCACACATCTCTTTATTTTTTTGGTGTAATTTACATTAACACAAATTAAACAATATCTTCAAAGAGATTAAACATTTTATGCAGAAAAATAATTAAATAGTTACAAGTGAAATGAGTGAAAAGTAGTAAAGGTTTTTATGATCATAAAATACTACACCTTCAGTCTACGTTACATATTTTTTGTAGACCAGTGTTGATGTAATCGGGAATTTTACAACCTAATGTTTATAAAAGGAAGCATGCATAACAATCATTGATAATTCTCAAAAACACTCCCATGTTGTGCTTGCATATAATCAATCACGTTCAGAGTCAAATGCAGACATAACAGGTATAACAAAGGCATAACACAGGTAAGAATTGTTAGTCTAAGGCTATGTACAACTATACAGTGCTGTAATATACTTATTTTTTATTAT